AAACTGTGTTGTACAGTGATAGCCAACCTGTACCAAACACTAAAAATTAGCAGTGTCGTTTATTTAATATTTAGTTTAAATGTTCAAGACTCATGGAGGAGACACAAATTGCATGGATTACCAACGATTCTAATAAAATATGTTCCACAACTTTGATTTTGGATATTGCAGCAAAACTCATAATTAGGAGAGGAACACATTAGGTCATTTCTGCATGATGTGATTTTAATATACGAGATGGTATCTGACAACCTACATGCATGTACTATGTGTATGGTTCTATTTATGTTCCTTTGTGGTGGTCATTTCTTACTTGGGTTTGACCACAAAAACTGTAAATTAGTTATGGATCTTCCCAGTATCTTTAGTAAAAGATTTCGTTTAAATGTCGAAATTGTTTCTTAGAAGACTTCTAATGGTTATTTGATATCCAATGGTTTTAAGTAATGACAATACTTGGCATGACGCTTAAAGCTAGATGAGCTAGAAAGTACACTTCTGTGTTATTTTAGTTCTTTCTTCGAAAATGTCTTCTCCAAGGCCTGGTCGAAGTTAAAAAATTAAAATTGGACCAGTATGATATATTATCATTTATATTTTTTGTCAAGGATTTTAATGTTATTATTAAAATATTTGTTCATATGCATATTATATTTTTTAAATACCAATAACTTGTGCATGGAGATTATTATCAAATAAAAAATCCTGTGCGCAATTTAATGTAATTATATGTATATATATGTAAATAGTTCGTCTATATATTTATAAGTTAAATGAGAAAGGGTGCCAGAGAGATAGTAAGACGCATGAAGTAGAAAGAGAAATTAAACAAGAGATCTAAGGAGAATGAAAAAAGTGAGGAAATGCACATGGAGATAGAAAATTGATTAAGTCTATACAGATTGGAGAGGCAACAAATCTACCAGATTGGGAAAGGGAAGAGAAAGCGGATGAAAGATGCAGTCGATATTGTTAAATACTGAAATAGATATAACATATAAATTAATGTATGAGCTTTTTCAAAACTCATTTGAATAGCCCCTATTTGTAATTTGTAGTATATAAGATAGGCATCCGACCCTACCTTTAATAATAAGAGGGTAATTTTTCAATTGTAAGTTAGTCCTGTCGCAATATAAGGTTTCAAAACCTAATAAGAAAGTTTTTTTGGAAACTATCTTTTCATTTATAGACTTTAATGATTTTGCAATTTGCTAGTCTCCTTCGATTGCAAAAAAAAAATAGATTTCCTTTTCGGTTCTTTTCTATTCTTTTTGGTCCTTTTCGGTCCTTTTCTGTTCTTTTCTGTAAATCGTCGCTCTTTTCTGTAAGTCGTCGGACCCGATCTACAACATTTTAAAAGTTGCAATTGGTGCTATGTAAATGTGACCTACAGTCACCTATCATTTTGTCTGCTACGACTGTAAATGGTATTTAAATATTTCCAATAAACAGTAATTTTCAACGTATTACAAAGAGGATAATAAAAAAAACATAGCACTTTTTTATTTTACCGCACATATATGCTCAAATAGTTTTCCTTTTAGATATTTAGATCTATCATTTTTGTTGGGACTACATTAACTTGCGTATACACTTTTCGTAGTGCAATGGTTTTGACGTTGGGTGACTGGCAGTAACCCTTCACATAAGCTTTTATCCTCGTGCGGACCATAGAGGGTGAATAAAATCCATAGGAGATTCGGCCTTCGGCCTCACCCCCTATGGATTTTACTAACCCTCTATGGATCCGTAGGGGGTCAGTAGCGAACCATATAACTTATATTGTACATAACAACCATACGTATTTGATATGGCACACAATTGATCAAAGGTCTGCATGAAGGGTAATAGAGTATTTGCCATGAGATAGAGTAAATTATCTCCCTCAAATTTACCAATAAAAATCTTGCATTTTGACATGAAGTATAACAAGCATTCTGTGAGTATTGCATGACAATGCATAGTCCCCTACCGGTTAAAAATTCATTGTAATGGAAGGAAATTATAACTTGATCTATAACTTGTCATGGTGTAAACTACATAAAATAAAAAACAAACCTACCACTAAATTCTATAAGCAATTTACTAAAGAAAAGGAAAACAAAATCCAAAATGTCATTTATCTTAATACAATGTCTTTAACAAGTCTTTTAAAAAATGAGTTATTTCCCTTTGAACAGAAATCTAGTAATAAATAAGTATTTCATGAAAAAATTTAATTCTTGGGAAAGTTAAATAAACTGCTTTGCTGAGCGCAGCTAGATACGCCCGCAGAGGTCCAACCCTGAACAGTTGGGGCAAAAATGGACACAATATTCAAGCTTGATTTAGGTCTGAATTTGGATTGTAATTAAATATTTGACATATTATAGGTTTCTGAATAAATGTATTCAAAGAACTTGAAATTGGTTACATAAATTGAATTTATGTTCAATTAAAGATTTCTTGCTGTTGTGCAATACTTAGTAAATCTGTTGTCAGACTATAAACAAATAAAGTTCAATTAATTCTCAATGTCATATTAGAAATTTATGAAAATAACAAGAATTCTGAGAGTATTGCATGGCAATACATAGTCCCCTACCAGGTAAAAATTCATTATACTGGAACAAAATGCTAACTTGTTCTATAACTTGTCATGGTGTAAACAAAAAGTAAATATCATGTCAATATCTTCAAGTATGACTAAAAACAGTGTGGAAAACTGATTATATGAGTGAATTTTTCAAGTCCAAGGACCATAACTCTGCACAATATTATTAGACAGAAACAAAAATTTGAACTTGATCTGCAACTTGTCATGATAAAACTATATACCAATTATCAATCAATATCTTATAAGCATGATGAAAGAAAACATTAGATATGATTAATAGTTCTCTAAAATTAGATATAATGTAATACAGTGTATATCTATTTTCAAATGATGATCAGATATAATTGATAGTTCCAAATATTTTTTTCTTTCATTTGTCACAAACTAATATAGATTTGTAACTTATCTATAAAATGTCAACAACTTTTATCTACACAATGTAATGTATTGAAATATATACATTAATAAAAATAGATTATTATCTAATTAAAGGATTTCTCTTCATAATTTTTTTTAAATATATATATAGCATTCAAAAAATTAGTTTATACTAAATAACAAACCCGTCAAAAAATTCTTCAAATAATTTAACACAGAATGTCTTTTAAAAAATGAGTTATCTCCCTTTGTACAGAAATATGGTTTAACATAGTACTCTAACATTAGATATGGTCCAGTTATTGTCCATTACTCTGGACTAAATCATCAGACCGGAACAAAATTCGAACTTGATCTATAACTTGTCATGATAAAACTATATACCAAATATCAAATCAATATCTTTAAGAAAGAAGAAAAAAAGTGTGGAAAGCTGATTTGCCGGACTGACGGACGGACAGACGGACGGACAGATGGACGGAGTGCAAACCTAAAGTCCCCTTCGACTTCGTCAGTAGGGGACTAAAAAGGGAGCTTACATCAATAGATATAAACAATTCACCAAAGTTTCATGAGAATTGGTGACAGCATTTTTGAGTTATTGTCCTAAAACTGGAAAATCACCCCTTTTTTTAATGAATAAAACCCCATAACTCAGAAATGTAAAATGTAAAATTTATAAAATTCTAAAGGGAGCTTACATCAATACATACAAACAATTCACCAAAGTTTCATAAGATTTGCTGACAGCATTTTTGAGTTTTTGTCCGAAAACTGGAAAATCCCCCCTTTTTTTATGAATAAAACCCTGTAACTCCGAAACATAAAATCTAAAATTTATAAAAATCAAAAGGGAGCTCATGTCAATAGATATAAACAATTCACCACAATTTCTTGCAAATTGGTGAAAGCATTCTTGACTTATTGTCTGAAAACTGGAAAATCCCCCTTTTTTTAATGAATAAACCCATAACTTGGAAACGTAAAATCTAAATTTTATAAAAAACGAAAGGGAGCTCACGTCAATAGATATAAACAATTCACCAAAGTTTTATGCAAATTGGTTAAAGCATTTTTGAGTTAATGTCCGACATGTTGACGACGGACAGACAGACAACGGTATACCATAATACGTCCCGTAAACGGGCGTATAAAAATGAGTTACTTCCCTTTGAATAGAAATCTAGTAATTAAGAAGTATTTCATCAAAAATTTATTTCTAGGGAAAGGCTTTAACTGAACAAGGAGAAAAGCTAAAATCGTGAAAATCGAACTTGACCTGTAACATGTCATGATAAAACAATACACCAAATATCAAATCAATATCTTCAAGCATGAAGAAAAAAAGTCTGGAAAACTGAATTGCCGGACTGACGGATGGACAGAGTGCAAACCTAAAGTCCCCCATTCGACCTCGTCGGTAGGGGACTAATAAATACATTTCCTTAAGGTGCATGTCACCCTGACCACTGATACTAGTATAATCTAATTGTTGATATAGTTGTTACCCTTCATCATTAAATCATATGGACCCTTCCTGTCGTATTGGTTTAAACAAATTCAGTGGTTATAAAACATTCATATTAGTTGGCCAATTATTACTAAAGTAACAACTTTTGTCAGTACCTCACTTCCATCACTTGGTTCTGTTGGTTCAATGATTCTCAAAAAGATTTCTACTGGTTGGACACAACCGAACTGACCCAATAGTTTCTGAGGAGGTGAGAACGCTAAGTTTGAAGACTAAAGAGGGGTATTGAGGGAAGGCACACACATGGCCTCGGGCATTTGTAAGGTAATAGAGGGACAGGTGCTTATTCAGTGACGACAACAGCTCACATGCCATGAAGGTTTAAAACAGATTAATTGATAGGGCTTGACATCCATCTGTAAGTATTTCCTGTATGTTCAGAACTTGAATTCCAGCTACAAGTATTTCCTGTAAATTCAGAAATTGAAATCCAGCTTCAAGTATTTCCTGTATATTCAAAACTTGAAATCCATAAGTAAAAAGAAAATAATGTTTACTTTGTATTTTTTATGTTTATTGTACAAATTAAGGCATGTTCTTATGACAGTACAATGTATGTTTTAAAAACATCATAAATCTTTGCCATGACAAATATACAAATAAATGTCGTACTAAAATGATGCGAGGAAAATGTATGGTATGATTTGACAAATTGCTATACTTTGTATCACAACATCTTCTGACAAACAGTGAATAAATAGACCTTCACTGTTTCTTATTATTTATTTTTAAACAGACTGACCATATATAATTACAGTCATAATTTATTTTTAAACAGACTGACCATATATAATTACAGTCATAATTTATATCTCTTAAATTCTCATCAAGTGCAAAAGAGAAAATTAATTTTAAAATAAATTCAATATCTAAATTTGACTAGAACTAATGGGTAGTTTAATTTTAAGTAAGCAGAGTTAGTAAAGTACAGGAGGCCAAAAATAAATCTACAAAAATAACCATAAACAAACATACTTCCATGGAAACACTAAAATAGATCTTATAAATACACAAGACTTGTCTTTGTAATATCTAATTCATATATTCTACATTCAATAAATAATATAAACACTGTAGGAGTAATTGGGGTTAAATAACTGCAGTTTTACTGCTCGAAGAATTATATTAAAATAATAAAGTCCCAATATTCATCCAGGCATTGCAAACTTTGGCACACAGTCACCTGCAGCATTCAAGCTAAATAAAAATTAAAATAAAACTTCACTTTGTTAGGAGGTATTGAGATATTTGTGTACTTCCGAAGGTAAACCATGAATAAAATGTTGTACTAAAATAAAAATTAATAATTGATATTTGTGACAGTTAGTTCTTAGATTTACCTTGAAAAAATTTAAATACAATTGTTGTCCTTATTCCAGAACATTGTATTTATTCTAATTTATATATTGCTGTAATTGTGTCTGTCTGACCTATATCACTTCTTGTAACACATGACAATATATTTGTTTGTCAGTTCAGAATAAAATAAAATGCTCAACTGGGCGCAGCTTGATACGACCGCAGAGGTCGAACCCTGAACAGTTGGGGCAATTATGGACACAACATTCAAGCTTGATACAGCTCTGAATTTGGATTGTGATTAAATATTTGACACAGCATAGGTTTCTGACACAGAATGAATGTGGTCTAAGAACTTAAAAATTTTTAACTTACCTATTATGGTCCAATATCCAAAATCTAAATACATACACGGTAAGATTTAGCATATCAAAGAACCCCAAGAATTCAATTTTTGTTAAAATCAAACTAAGTTTAATTTTGGACCCTTTGGACCTTAATGTAGACCAATTTGAAAATGGGACCAATTATTAAGAATCTAAATACACGGTTAGATTCAGCATATCAAAGAACCCCAATATTTCAATTTTTGATGAAATCAAACCATATCATTGTTATTTGCTTTTATATATAAATCAAAAATAAGCAAATTAAAATGGAAAATTTTAAAGAAAAAAAAAAGGAAAAAAAATTCCCCCCCCCAATTTTTTGAACCCCCTTATGATTCATCACCCCCAAACTCAATCCCAGCCTTCCCTTTGTGGTAGTGTACCTTGCAGTACAATTTCAGAGAGATCCATACACTTGAACACAAGTTATTGTCTGGAAACTGTAAAAAATGCTTGTTTTTTGGCCCCTTTTTGGCCCCAAATTCCTAAATGTTTAGGGCAATTACCCCCAAACTCAAACCCAGCTTTCCCTTTGTGATATGGAACCTTGTAGTACAAATTTATAAAGATCCATACACTTACACACAAGTTATTGCCCTGAAACTAGAGAAATGCTTGTTTTTTGCCCCTTTTTGGCCCCTAATTCCTAAAATTTTGAGGCAATTACCCCCAAACTCAATCCCAGCCTTCCCTTTGTGGTATGGTACCTTGCAGTACAATTTCAGAGAGATCCATACACTTGAACACAAGTTATTGTCTGGAAACTAGAAAAATGCTTGTTTTTGGCCCCTTATTCCTAAATGTTTTGGGCAATTACCCCCAAACTCAATTCCAGCTTTCCCTTTGTGATATGGAACCTTGTAGTACAATTTCAGAAAGATCCATACACTTATACAAAAGTTATTGCCATGAAACTAGAAAAATGCTTGTTTTTTGTCCCTTTTGAGGCAATTACCACCAAAAACAATCCCAGCATTCCCTTTGTGATATGGAACCTTGTGGTACAATGTCAAAGAGATCCATACACTAACACACAAGTTATTGTCTGGAAGTTACAAAAATGCTTATTTTTGGCCCCTAATTCCTTAACTGTTGGTGCCATAACCCCCAAAATCAATCCCAACCTTCCTTTTGTAGTATTGAACCTTATGGTAAAATTTCATAGAGATCCATTCACTTAAACTAAAGTTATTGTCCGGAAACTAAATGCGTCTTCGGACGACGCAGACGACGACATGATAGCATTATATGGCGCAAAAAAATATTTGCGGTCGTATAAAAATCCAACAACTACTATGAAAGGATTGAGTTTTTAACATATCCAAGTATCTTAAAATCAATGTAGAGACATACAATCACTTTATTGGCAGATCACTTCAGAATTCAGTTTTACAAATGACTATATGAAATTTCTGTATTCTTTCAAAATCTTTTCTAAAAAATGGTTTTTCGAAAGTAAATTGAAAATGAAAAAATTAAAATTTTTGATTTAGATCACATGAACATTTTCTTTCTTAGGATATTTCATTCATCTCTTGCAAAAGGCTTTAGCTTTTGAAGCAAATAAAACTGAAAAATAACTAGATATCTGTTGTGCTTTAGGACTTGGTACATACAGGCAATGCAAACCAGGAATGTTTAACAGAGTCTAAATAAATGATAGTAACAATGCTGGCAGTACAAAGAAATATACAAATGCATAGGAAAATAATTATTGCGTAGTTTAACAAATTTTACTGGACATCAAAGCACTATGTATTGCTCCTTAAAGCTCAGTAGTTAAAGGTTGGCCAGAGAACTGTCATATTTTATATATAAAACCCTGGAGTAGCCAATAATGATTTCAAAGCTCAAAAAGATCATTAGACCAAATTGTGTTTGCTTGTAATGAAAATCTGAGGTAATTTTTTCTGTGAAAATTTGAAGTATTTAGCTGAATCAATTTCTTACATTTATGGGATTCTCAGCACCACAGAACAATTTCTGGTATAAGTTTAAGATAAAAGAATGGTTTTAATATAATTATCTGAAGAGCACCAACTGGCATGTAATATTCATGTTTGATTTATTATCAAAATAAAAAGAACTCTAATTATTATCAAACACATTAACATAATACATTTATCATACATAAAAAAAGAGCAATTCAATTTGTGATGTTACCATTTAACAATGAAATTATTTCCCAGGTTTTAGCTCTCAACTACAAGTAAAATTCTAGTGATAATTACAAAGTTACAATACAGTGCAGCAAGTTATTATTTGAACTATTGCTATGAGCTTCAGGGAAGACTAAACTTGTGAAATCCTGTTGACCTCTTTTGGAGAGTCATCTCTAACTTTCCATTTTTAAATCTTTCCTATTTTCAAAACATACTCTGGCAGAAAGTCAATACTCCAACTTCCTAATACAATAATATCATTTTATTGAAATTATCATTGCCAAAAAAGTATAAGCCTATAATGATAATTATCTAAAGGAGTTTTTTTCCAGGTAATACTATCATGTTTTATATTTGTTCAGAGATATCAACAATTATTTCTGCCTTCTAAATGATTGAGGAGTAAAGTATTTAAAAAACAACTTTTCACAATCTCTGAGGATTTCTTTATTTATTTAGACTCATTAAAATTAGCTCTATGCCGTCCAACTTTTGAAGTTCTCAATATTAAAATAGATAACTATATATAAGGATCACCAACAGACCTCAACAGTAGGAAAAGCATACTTTAAAATAGATTATTGATGATGCTATCAATTTCCACATTTTTATACAGTATATTATCTATTTCTTATAGTATTGTACAATTCATCACAAATTATTTTCACAACAAGCAATCACTTAGCTACCCTATTAGGGAAATCAGTTGTAATTCATTTTCTTCTGTCTGATCGAAACACATAATAATTTACAAGATATCGAAACACAATATATGATTACTTTTTCCAACAAGAGACTTCAACCATGTTTCGCTACCTATGAAACTGAACTTGATAAAATGTTGACATTTTTCAACTGGCCTATAGTTTTCTGAAACAGTTATACCTTGATGACAATTTTTGAAATGATATATGTAAACAATTGCACCAATCATATATAAATGACAATGATTTATAACGAAGATGTGTAAAACATTAAAAACTTATAAAATTGCACAAGATGACTGTGAAATAAATATTTTTTTCATTCACGCCACATTCATTCATATCAATAGGTAAAACATTATTTACAAATATAGATCTATCATTGGAAACACAGGAACTTATCTGTAAAATAGTCTTTTTCTTTTAAATGTATAAACATGATTAGAGTTATTAAACTTAAAACACTGATGTTCTTTGTACAACTTATTTATATTAAGCAAATATAATGGAATATAAAAACTTTTACACCGTCTTGCTTAACAATCAAAAGCACCTCAATGTAATTAAAAAATCTGTATGGTTTATTTCAATTAAAATAAACTGTTTTTATTATACTTTAATTTGCTGTTTGAAAACCATAATCCTTCATTTTAAACTTGAACAAGAGAGCACCAACTTTGATAATTTGTGAACTTGAACAGAAGCATACTTTAAATAGCTATACAACAATCCAATAATCACATAGTATGGAATGGATTATTTCCCTTAAAACAGAGCAAACATGTATATAATCCAAGGGCATACCAAGAGAATGTTTTCATCTAGCAAATTTGGGTTTAAAAAATAACAGTATCAAAGAGTTTCTAAAGATTAAATATTAATGTTTAGAGATTACATTTTAATTAAATGCAATTTTGTTTGGCAAGTACCATCTGAGATTCTAGAACATCTTTATTATGACTTGAACAGAGATATAACTACATTGTACTGCTTTCCAATTTTTGACTACTAAAAAAGCGAAAAAAAAGGCAAAAATTGTTACAGTAATTGTTGTCATTCTAACATTTAAAAGTTTTCTTAAAGCTGAGAGATTCTTTAAAGAAAACTAACATTTTTCATGTTACCCTCTACCTCCTTTGTAGCTAGTTTAATACCACTTTGTACAGTCAAATTTTTCTCCATACCCTGTTTTGGAAAAAAGTTTTTATTTTCCAAATATAAAGTAGGTTTTGTGTATAGACCTAGAGAGAAATATGCTGGACATTATACTTAGACCTAGAGAGAAATATGCTGGACATTATACTCCATCTATTTGCCTTCTTACTGAAACAAAGAGAGCTATAAGAGCTATATCCAGTGCTATGTATGTATATACATATATCTATAATTTATCCCTAGCAAAGGGAGATAACTCTTCAGAAAATGTCATTTCCCATTGATGTTGTCATAAGTCCTTCATTTCTTCTCCTTTGACTTCGTCTTACTCCATCAGCTCTCCTATATGGTTCATTCTTCAAATCTAACAATTAGAAAATACAAATATAAACTATACATGCTTTACAACCCAAAGTCAAATATTAAAGATGTAAATATTATAAATATGCTCTAGAACTGAGTCATGCTTTGAGTACACAGAAATATCATTTAAACATTATACAGAAGTTTACATGGTTTATAATTTGGTTGGTTTTGGGATGTTCTTTTAAAACTTAGTAACATATGATAAATAAATGGAGAATGTGTCCCCATGGACACAGATGATGCCCCCGCTTGCATACAACATTATAAAGGGACATACCTCAAGAACGATAAAAGTGACGCTACCCAAATTTGTACTTAATCTGAGTTTTATGGTAATAAGTTTTGTGTATAGGTCTCATAATGTTTGGTTGGGAAAAACTTTTCGATTTTTAAAGGGGCATAACTCGATAATGATTAAAGTGACTCAACCGAAATTCAACTTGATCTGTATTTTGTGGTAAAAAGCATTGTGTATAAGTTTCATAACATTTGGTTGAGGTAACTTAAGTTAAAGAACGGAAACTAAAAAATTTTGCATTGTTTTCCATTTATAAAGGGGCATAACTTGTGAATGGTTAAAGTGACCCCACCAAAATTCAATCTTGATCTGTATTTTGTGGTAATAAGCATAGTGTATAAGTTTCATAACATTTGGTTGAGGCAAACTTAAGTTAGAGAACAGAAACTAAAAATTTTGCAATTTTTCCATTTAAAAAGGGGCATAACTCTAGAACGGTTAAAGTGACGCCACCAAAATTCAAACTTGATCTGTGTTTTGTGGTAATAAGTATTGTGTATAAGTTTCATAACATTTGGTTGAGGCAAACTCAAGTTCGAGAACAGAAACTAAAAAGTTTGCAATTTTTCCATTTATAAAGGGGCATAACTCTAAAACAGTTAAAGTGACACCACCAAAATTCAAACTTGATCTGTGTTTTGTGGTAATAATCATTCTGCATAAGTTTCATAACATTTGGTTCAGGCAAACTTAAGTTAGAGAACGGAAACTAAAAATTTCGTAATTTTTCCATTTATAAAGGGGCATAACTCTAGAACGGTTAGAGTGACGCTACCAAAATTCAATCTTGATCTGTATTTTGTGATAATAAGCATTGTGTATAAGCTTCATAACATTTGGTTTAGGCAAACTTAAGTTAGAGAACAGAAACTAAAAATTTTGCAATTTTTCCATTTATAAAGGGGCATAACACTAGAACGGTTAAAGTGACGCCACCAAAATTCAAACTTCATCTGTGTTTTGTGGTAATAAGCATTGTGTATAAGTTTCATAACATTTGGTTGAGGCAAACTTATGTTAGAGAACAGAAACTAAAAATTTTACAATTTTTCCATTTATAAAGGGGCATAACACTAGAACGGTTAAAGTGACGCCACCAAAATTCAAACTTGATCTGTGTTTTGTGGTAAAAAGCATTGTGTATAAGTTTCATAACATTTGGTTGAGGCAAACTCCAGTTAGAGAACGGAAACCAATTTTGGGATGTACGTACGTACAGACGGACAAGGGTAAAACTTAATGCCCCCTCCGCTACGGCGGTGGCATAAAAAAATATCAGTCAAACATTGCCTTTAACATAGCTATAAAATCCTTCTTATTGTTTTTATTTCTTTTTAGATATAACTTATATTAGAGAACAGGATAGCATGATTTCATAGCAGTATGTGAAGTACTATCAGTAACTATCAACAGTCTTTGATGTTTTAGACAGTTGTTTTGGTATGTACCATTTGTTGTTTGCCTGTGATTAATATATTTCATTGTTTTTGTCATTTAGGGGAATTTGGTATTGATACACAACTTTGAAATCCTTTGAGACAAGGACTAGAAATATTGTATTGGACTTAATATTGACTTTCAGGTGTATTTTGGTGTTGTGAGGTTACTGTCTCACTGATGTATAACCCACATCTCTTTTTTATTACATATATATTTCTATACTATTATCAAATATACATTTGACTTGTGAAACCTTACTTATATATTTGTTTTTTTTCTTTACTTTAAATGGGAAAAACAAACCTAGAAGTATATCTTCTAAAGCACCATGATACACTTCATCTTTATTTAATAATTTCTTTTCCTTGATGTGTTTAGTTCTGTTCTTTAATTCATTGACAACAGCATCCTAAACAGAAAATAATACCAACATATAAGTTATAGTTATGAAGACAGTTTATTACAAGATTATTATTATTTACATGTTCTGGTTATTGATATTCAACTCAAGGGAATTGGATGATTTCATAATTTAAGAAAAAGTAATTGTTAATGTACAGGTATTTTCCATACATTATTAAAAAAAAAAAGAAAATCTATTAGATTGTTTAAAAGCAATGTGAAAAACATTAAGCAGTTAAGAATATAATTTACCTCAAATAATAATAAAATTATTGAGGAAATTTTATAATAATTGGTTAAAAACACTAAAAGAATATAAATAAGTTGAAATAGAAAAATAAAGCGAAAAAAAAAGAAGGAAAAAAAGGTAAGCTCTGTCACATGAATGAGATGAACACCATAGCTAAATAAAAGTGATTTTTAGAACATTTAATATTTTTAGTCTTACAAATTCAAATATTCTTAATTAAATAAACATTTTTCATGAAATAAATCATCATTCCAGTTAAAGAGCATGTCTATCAATTCAAATGAAACTTGTAAACTTTAAAATGATAAAACATATGTACAACTGAAATAAAAATTAGAAAAGCACCAAACAACATCTGTACAACATGTGATCTATACCTTTACAGGTACAACTAGTATCCCATTCTCCTCTTCATGCTTAAAAAGGAGATCAAATATATTCATGTGACCTGATTACACAATAATATTCAATTTAACCTGGGAATTCTTACCATGATAGGGCTAATGCCACTATTTACCATGATAGGGCTAATGCCACTATTTACCATGATAGGGTCAATGCCACTATTTACCATGATAGGGTCAATGCCACTATTTACCATGATAGGGTAAATGCCACTATTTACCATGATAGGGTCAATGCCACTATTTACCATGATAGGGTCAATGCCACTATTTACTAGAAAATATTTCTAAAACATGTCCTGAATATGCATTTAACTTGCCATTAGACATTAATCAATCATCCATCAAACCAGAGGAGATAGCATTGTAATCACTATGTACATTTCTTTTATTCAAAACCACCTCTGTTGTCTCGTGGTAGTATTCTTGCCTTAAGTGCAGAAGGATTTTGGTTCGATCCCCAGCCAAGTCAAAATTAAATACTTGAAAATTGGTATTTCCTGCTTCTCTGCTAAGCATGCAGCATTTAGGAGTTAGAGCAAAAACTGGTCAGCCCAAGAGTCAGAATACTGTGTCTGGGTAGGGAGATGTGTATTCCTGTGGACTGTTGTCTTGTTAAGTAGCACGTTAAATTTTTGGCTTGTGGTGTTGATATATAGTTAACATGTTCTTGTCCTGAATATACATTTAACTAGCCACTGGATGTCTTACAGCTATCCATCATCATCATCATCTTCTTATTCAATACATGTTTAAAAAATCCAACATGTGCCACGCATAGCGACTGTTATATCAGTTTAAAGCAAGCATATAATTTCACATGGTGGGAAATCCTTATCCTTTTTTAATTATACACTAAAAACCATAGATAACAACCTAACTGGGAAATTTTAAAAGATTCTACTCTTTGAGGTTCTATTTCATGAATCCTGAGATATTTTGTTACTACACAGTTCATGCAGCTGATACAGTGTCAACATAACAAGGCTGCGTGACTACACATAAATCTGCATCTAATGTATGTTTTAATCAGTGCCAGTCACAGTTTATTTTCTCAATCCAAAAATTTTGTTTTCCATTTATATATGCAATGTTCCCAGATACTGTTTATAAACATTTGTATTTTAAATGTTTATTTGTTACAAAAAAGAACATTTATATACAGGAGTTACATTATTTAATCATACTATATGACATTCATTTTTCTTAAAACAAGGGAGGTAAGTCATAATTTATCATGATCACACAATGCTCTGGTTGTAACTGGAGAGTATTAGGAAACTATTCCAATTGCATGCATTCCAGTAGGGAGGGATGTTGTATGTTTAAGCATCCATTTTTTTATTATTGTAGAATAGTAAAATCCCAGTAAGCATTTCATGAAACTGAAGCAACCACAATATGAAAATAATTTTCTTGATGAATTCAGACTTACAGGTCGTTTTAAGAGCTGAAGCAAATTAATATGTATAAGCCAACAATATAAACAAAACATATTAAATATATGACACTGCAACTAGCTTATATATCTTACAGCTGTCACAACTGCCAAGTATATCAAATATCAGAAAATTTCATTCACTCTGTCTGCATCATCTTGTTTCTTTGTCATTTTCAAGAACAATTAATTTACTGTTGATTAGTTTTTGCATAAAAATATCCCAAAACAAACATTTTATCAGATAGATAATGCTCTTGAAAATGAAAAAAATATACAATAAGTCTCTAATTTTTATATAAATTCTGCAATGTAAAATGAGTTAGTAGACATAACAGTTAAGACCACTCTATAATCATATAATATACCGGTGGGTCCAAATGCTTGTAATTCTACAAAATAATACAATCTTTTTTTATAGATGGTAAATTTTTGTTTTGATTTGAAAAGATAAAATTAACTCCATGAAAGAAGTTCCACCTCTCTTTTCCAATAAGGATAATACACCTGTTAGTTTCAAGATGAAAGATCTTAAAAACTTAGGCAATACATAAAAATTACATTGTAAGTCTACTATCAGGTAAGGTCAAATCCTTTCATTTTTCTTGCCATTATTAATTGAAAAAAAAACTTGTGTTCTAAACATAAGATTGATACACTACTAATATGATATTCCATTTTGGCTATTATTTTGTAACTTTCTAATTTCTAGAATTTTCTGAAATAGGTTACATTTTTAAAAGGAGTAGGTCCAGTAAGACCCCTTTTTGGCCCCAAAATATAGCAGTTTTACAAAATTGTTAAAATGTAAACTTTTAGCTATTTTTTGGAAAGTAGATTACTTCTGCTACATAAATATGGGCAGTTTTTGACAATACAATGCATATATATCGGGTAGTAGCATCATTAATTCATGCTAAATCACTGAAATCTTCACAATTTTAGCATTTGAGTTAAATTTTAGACGGTTTCCGTCTTAAATGGATTTTGTGTTCATTCTTAATATTTAAATGCAAGTTGTATTTGATGATAATACATAACATATATAAAGGTTGAGAGTGAACACGGATGCGGCCACTTTCATTTTTGACAAAAACCATCTGAAAAGTGACATATTATGGCATATTTGATAGATTTTTCACATTTAAGCTTGAATCTGAGCGTCTTTGATGATAAAATCAGTTCAAATCTGTCCAATAAACTAATTGAATCGACTGAAGTAGACACTTAAGTGTTTAAAAAGTGACCAAAATCTTTCATCAGATGAAATTTGAGGCCAAAATCGTCCCTTACCGCACCTACTCCTTTCTCCAGTTTTGAACAATTTCCATAAAATAATAAAAAAAAAATATGAATATTCATATCTTTGTCCTTTGGTCTCATTGAGCAATCATACCACATCTCCTTATTCTTATATTCATATGTTACTGCTAAATTTGTATTAAAATGCCAGTAAAATGTTTTTGGGAAATAAATAAAATAGATCTAAATCATGTTACATAGAAAATAAATCACAGATATATATATATAATTAAGATCCATTTATTACATCAGTGATCCGTTTTTTTGGCAATCACCAATGGCAGTCAGCAGGGTTTAAGAACATTTGTTGTTCGACCTGTTAGTCAAATGTTCGACCTGTTAGTCAAATGCATTTTGTTAAAATATACTTTTTCACTTTTTTGGTCGTTTGGAAAATGTTGTTTGTGCTGTATTTAGACCCCTCTACCAAGAAATTTGTTTTGCATGCACACGTATAAAAATTGCGGTTTTTATCCAACGCAATCATAGGTTTGAACGTTGTTTTCAATTTAGACTTACTTGTATATATATATATATATATATATATAAAACATTTTGTCAACAGACCTCAAAATTAAATACTTCTGAAACAAAATACTATCATGACTAAATAACTGTAGGATTAAATTAGTTACCTGAACTTGTTTCTTGTCTTTACGTTTATCTTTATTTGGAACAGGAGGTTCCAGTGCTGCATGTTCCATTTTCCTTCTTTTATCCAACTCTACTAAAGCTGCCTGTTAATGGTAAATGGAATTATTAGTAACTTCAACATTGTTTTTTATCTTGCTAATATTTTCCATATCACCTTATTACCGTAATGTATAAGTGAAAAAAATTGATGCATTGGCAAAAGAAACCTGAAATTAGATGTGGTTACCAGTATAAAACAAAACAAGGATACTTTGAGGTTTTGACTGAAATCAACTCAATTATCTGATCAAGACTGAGCTGTGGTATTTGCTACAATGTCAGTCTCTAGCTTCAAAGCAGCAGTTATTTTATCTGTCTTACATATATTATGTTTACAATCAAGTTGTATAAAACCCATCTGTAATCAATATGTATTTGCATGAACAAAAAAAAATTAAAGCCAAGTAACTGTTACTCAGCTTTATCTCAATAGTTTAGAACATTATATTCTGATGCCACTGAATAATAAATGAAGGAAGCATAAATTACCTTAAACGAATTGACAAATCTGACAAACTGTGAGAAGAAAGTGTTTGGAGCGACGGTTCTAGGATTCTCACCGAAGTACTCTACAACCCGGTGATAGGCATCCTGTAAGTAATAAAATAATTAGTGTCAAATAAAACACAATATCCTGATCAAATCATCTCTGATCGTAAGTAACAAAATAATGTCAAATAAAACACAATATCCTGATGAAATCATCTCTGACCGTAAGTAACAAAATAATGTCAAATAAAACACAATATCCTGATCAAATCATCTCTGATCGTAAGTAACAAAATAATTAGTGTCAAATAAAACACAATATCCTGAGGAAATCATCTCTGATCGTAAGTAACAAAATAATTAGTGTCAAATAAAACACAATATCCTGATCAAATCATCTCTGATCGTAAGTAACAAAATAATTAGTGTCAAATAAAACACAATATCCTGATGAAATCATCTCTGATCGTAAGTAACAAAATAATGTCAAATAAAACACAATATCCTGAGGAAATCATCTCTGATCGTAAGTAACAAAATAATTAGTGTCAAATAAAACACAATATCCTGATGAAATCATCTCTGATCGTAAGTAACAAAATAATGTCAAATAAAACACAATATCCTGATGAAATCATCTCTGATCGTAAGTAACAAAATAATTAGTGTCAAATAAAACACAATATCCTGATCAAATCATCTCTGATCGTAAGTAACAAAATAATTAGTGTCAAATAAAACACAATATCCTGATCAAATCATCTCTGATCGTAAGTAACAAAATAATGTCAAATAAAACACAATATCCTGATGAAATCATCTCTGATCGTAAGTAACAAAATAATTAGTGTCAAATAAAACACAATATCCTGATGAAATCATCTCTGATCGTAAGTAACAAAATAATTAGTGTCAAATAAAACACAATATCCTGATGAAATCATCTCTGATCGTAAGTAACAAAATAATGTCAAATAAAACACAATATCCTGTGGAAATCATCTCTGATCGTAAGTAACAAAATAATTAGTGTCAAATAAAACACAATATCCTGATCAAATCATCTCTGATCGTAAGTAACAAAATAATGTCAAATAAAACACAATATCCTGAGGAAATCATCTCTGATCGTAAGTAACAAAATAATTAGTGTCAAATAAAACACAATATCCTGATCAAATCATCTCTGATCGTAAGTAACAAAATAATTAGTGTCAAATAAAACACAATATCCTGATCAAATCATCTCTGATCGTAAGTAACAAAATAATGTCAAATAAAACACAATATCCTGATGAAATCATCTCTGATCGTAAGTAACAAAATAATTAGTGTCAAATAAAACACAATATCCTGATGAAATCATCTCTGATCGTAAGTAACAAAATAATTAGTGTCAAATAAAACACAATATCCTGATGAAATCATCTCTGATCGTAAGTAACAAAATAATTAGTGTCAAATAAAACACAATATCCTGATGAAATCATCTCTGATCGTAAGTAACAAAATAATGTCAAATAAAACACAATATCCTGAGGAAATCATCTCTGATCGTAAGTAACAAAATAATTAGTGTCAAATAAAACACAATATCCTGATGAAATCATCTCTGATCGTAAGTAACAAAATAATGTCAAATAAAACACAATATCCTGAGGAAATCATCTCTGATCGTAAGTAACAAAATAATTAGTGTCAAATAAAACACAATATCCTGATGAAATCATCTCTGATCGTAAGTAACAAAATAATTAGTGTCAAATAAAACACAATATCCTGATCAAATCATCTCTGATCGTAAGTAACAAAATAATGTCAAATAAAACACAATATCCTGATGAAATCATCTCTGATCGTAAGTAACAAAATAATTAGTGTCAAATAAAACACAATATCCTGATGAAATCATCTCTGATCGTAAGTAACAAAATAATTAGTGTCAAATAAAACACAATATCCTGATCAAATCATCTCTGATCGTAAGTAACAAAATAATGTCAAATAAAACACAATATCCTGATGAAATCATCTCTGATCGTAAGTAACAAAATAATTAGTGTCAAATAAAACACAATATCCTGATGAAATCATCTCTGATCGTAAGTAACAAAATAATTAGTGTCAAATAAAACACAATATCCTGATCAAATCATCTCTGATCGTAAGTAACAAAATAATGTCAAATAAAACACAATATCCTGATGAAATCATCTCTGATCGTAAGTAACAAAATAATTAGTGTCAAATAAAACACAATATCCTGATGAAATCATCTCTGATCGTAAGTAACAAAATAATTAGTGTCAAATAAAACACAATATCCTGATCAAATCATCTCTGATCGTAAGTAACAAAATAATGTCAAATAAAACACAATATCCTGATGAAATCATCTCTGATCGTAAGTAACAAAATAATGTCAAATAAAACACAATATCCTGATCAAATCATCTCTGATCGTAAGTAACAAAATAATGTCAAATAAAACACAATATCCTGATGAAATCATCTCTGATCGTAAGTAACAAAATAATTAGTGTCAAATAAAACACAATATCCTGATCAAATCATCTCTGATCGTAAGTAACAAAATAATTAGTGTCAAATAAAACACAATATCCTGATGAAATCATCTCTGATCGTAAGTAACAAAATAATTAGTGTCAAATAAAACACAATATCCTGATCAAATCATCTCTGATCGTAAGTAACAAAATAATTAGTGTCAAATAAAACACAATATCCTGATGAAATCATCTCTGATCGTAAGTAACAAAATAATTAGTGTCAAATAAAACACAATATCCTGATGAAATCATCTCTGATCGTAAGTAACAAAATAATTAGTGTCAAATAAAACACAATATCCTGATCAAATCATCTCTGATCGTAAGTAATAAAATAATTAGTGTCAAATAAAACAGCAATATCCTGAGGAAATCATCTCTGATCGTAAGTAACAAAATAATGTCAAATAAAACACAATATCCTGATGAAATCATCTCTGATCGTAAGTAATAAAATAATGTCAAATAAAACACAATATCCTGATGAAATCATCTCTGATCGTAAGTAACAAAATAATTAGTGTCAAATAAAACACAATATCCTGATGAAATCATCTCTGATCCGTATAATTCAATATATTTAATTTCCTATTCTATTACTGTAAATTCAGAAATTATTGCGATGTTTTTATTATTGCGAAAAATGCGACAGGGTTATAATCGCAATAATTTAAACTCGCATTTTGAAATTTTTTATATGAATTAAACATGATTTTTCTCAATATCGCAAAAATTAAAATCGCATTTTTGTCTAAAATGACAAAATCGCAATAAAAAACGCACGCAATAGTTTCTGAATTTACAGTACTTGTAAATTTTTTTTGTTGAGTATGAACTGTTCAGGTTAAATTACAAGAGTCCTTGCTAGACAACTATATTTTTCATGTATTTGTTGTTGAACTTACCATATGGAATTAGTTAATTTGTATTAAAAACTGTAACATAATCAAATGTTAAATGAATATCTATCTAAGAAATCTGAAAATATATATCATGAAAATGTACCAAAAAGATGTCCAACTTTTTATATATAACATAGAAAATTAAAAAAAAAAAAGGATATTAATTATATCAGCAGCCAATTTATTGCGCCATAAATGAAGAAGAAATTATATTTAATGCATTTGGTCCATACTGAACAGTATTTCTAGAATAAAATCTTTCCTTTATTCAAAATTAACTATTTTTAGAAGGCATGCATGAAATCATCGGACATTTGAAGAGCTGTCAAAACAGTGCTTCCCTCAATTCAGAAACACAAAGTCTTAAGGGTGAAATCATACCTAAAAGATTTCATCAAATCAAAGTATATCATGAATTTACACGTTTACCAAAGTGTAGCCAAAAGTCTTATACACTGTAGGTGTGGGGATACAGTTTATATGCAATAGAGTTTTAATGGGAACTATATGCAATCTTTGCTGACATGTCTACTTTAACCTACCTGTGCTGTTTTCAAATCACTTTGTAATTTTTTAAGTTTTTCTTCAGAATTACTGAGGAAGTCTTTAAGAATGACAGGTAAATCTCGTGAATTTTTCCTGGCATCATATTCCTTCTTTGTCATTTCCATTCCTTTTTCTAATTCATGAATATCAACAATAATGTTCTCCATGGAAACTACAATGGAATAAATAAAAACAATTTATTGTTCACTGATCAATATGACTTTGTAAACAAGTGAACACATTGAATGATTTCGAGTGATTGACTTTTAACTCTTCAAATTGTAGCAGCTGTTTCAAGTCTTGAGTTAAATTTAACCTCTAAATATCTTTTTAATACCTTGCTACACTTCAATTTTACAGAACAGCAGCATGATATAAAATAAATCATCACTGACAATGTGATACATGTATGTTACAAGTAAAGGTCTCTCAGCAATATTGAAATTACCAGCACCTTTGTCTGTTAAAACTTTACTTTGACAAAATTATTCGAATGATCCAACTTCAGAGAAGTCTATATATATTTATAGCTAGTAGATAAACAATACTAACCAATGGCTGCTTTTTCTATGAACCTCAACTCTGACTCAAAGGTGAGCAAGTCTGGGAATCTTTCTTGCACTGTTTTTACTAAATAATGCATCAAAGACACATTTTTATCTTTTGATTTTGTGTCCATTAACTGAAAAGAAGAAGCATATTATAGGTAAAATTGTAAGCATTGGTAAAACATATTACAAAATTGTGACAAAAAATGATCAGTATTTAACAACATACTGTGTATTAATTATATAGAAGAATGGATGGTGTACAGTGTTATGCAATATGTATTTGTTACCTGCAATTTTTGCTAAATATTTCATGTAAACTATAATTTCTTTATTTGGTTATTAGGTCTTTCCACTTTTCTGTGGAAAGACCTATTGGTTTTCTTCTGATTATTATTATTATTATTTTTTTCTTCTTCCGCCACTTTTTTCTGACGGTGCTTTTTTGTTTCGCAAGATGTCGCTTAGATTTTTTGTGTATGATATTTTTGCGATTTTGAAACTGACCCTGTTTAGCCGAATACTTTTTATTGTAAGAGTTATCTCCCCAAACACTGTTTTTCTTGTGTACGCATCTCCTTCGCAACTGTAAAAGATTATGACAAATTTATGTCTCCAATTTGTTCTTTATATCCTCAGGATCTTAGGAATAATTTTGACCGAAGCGGTCCAGAAACTCCATATGAGAGTTATTTCCCTTTTGTATTTAAAATAAGTAAAATGTAATTGTAATTGGTAAACCATAAGTGATAGGGACCTAGGGTCTTTTGATTTGAGGTCCTTGGTCCAAAAAAAAGAAAATAGGGTCAAGGTCAAAGGTCATGGTCATTTTTAAATTTGGATTTTGGCTTATTTTCACCTCTTTTCAAACACGATTTAAGATATCAACAACATATTTTTACTTAATTGTTAGTTGCGACATGTCGTGACACATACATATCGGTTTAAAGGGTACGCTTACATCAAATTAGAGTTTTCTCCCCTCTTTTATTTAAAAGTATGCATATGGTGATATAACTCATGAACCAAATATAATTAAGTCCTAGAGTCTTTTGATTTTAGGTCCTTGGTTGATGACCTTGAAATTGAGCTCAAGGTCATAGGTTAAATTGACGTTCTAGATTTTGACCTTTGCTTTTACCTCATATGTATACATGATAAATCCATGGGACTTTTTGCATTAGGTTTCAAGCCATTTAACCTTAGAAAAGCCAACCGGAAGTGACCTTGTGTAAACAGGAAGTAGCTTTTTTTTGTACTTAATTAATGTAAAAGTTTATAGAACCAGATATTTTTGGTATCAGTGTCAATTAAACGTTTGAATAATACCGGAAGTAACATTTTTCAAACCGGAAGTAACAAATTATCTCCCTTATTTAAAAAATATTGTATAGAAACCATATATTTTTGGAATCAGCATACAATAAGCTATCATTTCAAGCTGGAAATGACATTTTAAAACGAATTTTACTATTTTCATATTAAAATACATGTTTTTTTGTGGAAAGACCTTCAATTGTTCTCTGAACAATTGGTTTTTAATTGTGAAGAGTTCTTCTTTTCTGATACTATCACAAGGATTATTTTTGTGCAGAAATTTGCTAAATATTTCAACCAAGGTAAATTGTAAAAAAGTATAATTCATGTTCCCATCAAGAGAAAATAAGAACAGAAGACAAAATAATGACAAAATAAACTGATTTACTTCATCTTAACGTATCAAAAATAGTTTTAATTACTACAATTAATTAACTTCAGCCAAAAATGCTTCTTGCCACAAATGGCTTTTTTAAAATCTAACCATAAATGCCCTCAAAATATTTTGTTTAAATGTGTTATTTTATGAAATAGGTGATGAATACTTACTGAATAACACTGTACATGTATTATCACTATTTTTATAAGAATATAACACTGTTTCAGTGAACATGCAGTATACATATTTAAATTCCAAAATATTCTTGATGTTTTTTTATTGCATAGAATGTGACTGAATTAGTATCCATTTCTTAATCTGACGGCAATTTTTTATATGCTGAATTATCTGAAATTACATTGGATAACTAAGACAATGTAGCATTAAAAATAAAACCTACCATGTCTAAACTCTGAAGTTTAAATCAGGATAACTCAGACAATGTAGCATTAAATATAAAACCTACCATGTCTAAACTCTGAAGTTTAAATCAGGATAACTCAGACAATGTAGCATTAAAAATAAAACCTTCCATGTCTAAACTCTGAAGTTTAAATCAGGATAACTCAGACAATGTAGCATTAAAAATAAAACCTACCATGTCTAAACTCTGAAGTTTAAATCAGGATAACTCAGACAATGTAGCATTAAAAATAAAACCTACCATGTCTAAACTCTGAAGTTTAAATCCATATACTGGACCTCTTTTAGCACTGTTCATATAATTTCCAAAGGCAAGAATTATCTACAACAAATAAACAATTACTGATATGGTAAATAGCTATTAAACAGAACAATTCTTAAACCCTAAATTTCTATATACAAAGTCAAGGATCTAGAATTTTTTTTAAACAATTTCGGTCATTTTGAGATAACTTAAAAGTTGGGCCCCTTTTTTCAAACTCGAAATTATTCACACTAGATTCATAGCATCAACTAACTTGTGTTGATTGTTTCATCGCATTTACTTCATGAATTTTCTTACCGTTTTTCTAAACGTTCAAGAACAGTTAATGGAATGCAACAGTTTAAAATTGAAATGAATTTAATGACTCAAAATGGTATATTTCTCAGACACCGCTAACGTTCCTTTCAATTTTGAAGACAAATTAAAACCTGAAGTTTCACGACAATACTAAAGTACAAGTAATTCCGAATACATTTCCGGGATTCATTCTGTTTATAAAATTGACAGGAAATCACAGGATTTAAAATTTTATTACCTTTAAATGTGTTTGAATAGAACAGATAATAGTTCCATTCGTTTAAATTTAGTATGAAATCATTTTGCATTATACGATTAAGTGTCTAAACTGATGAAGACAATTTCAAGCATGCGTATTACATAGTAAATAAAGCACATGTTTGACTCGTAAAAAATTACTTTATCTACGTAAATTAAATCAAGTTTTAATTTTAAATCAGAATTGTTGATTGTCTTTGATGAAAAGTAATTAAACAATGAAGAAAGTTATCATGAAATTTTAATTTCTTTATAATATTAGTTCTGAGCTTGTGATCACTGTCAGGTGTGAATTAAAAACACTGGTAAAAAGTGATTAGCAATCTTTAACCAATATTTCCCAGAGGCATTACTATGGTTATTAGGAGGGCCCTCAGGATTATCATACTATACTGGAGTGGCAGATATATTACAGGAAAGGGATTATAAAACAAAAACAAGTGAAAAATGGCGATAGCAAAACCCGATCTCAATGAAATGACCAAAATTATTTCTGTAAAAAAAATTAATTTGTCCTAAATCCCAATCTGCCATTTAGGACAAATATATTTCAGTTTAGGACATGACTGGCAAATATGACCGTTTCCGGACCCTTGTTCAAAGTATTCTTTGACTATTACACAGAAAACTGCTACTTTCAAACTCTAGTATTATACAAATCATAAACATTTATAAATATTGCATTACGTGCGTCCTTCACTATAAACCTTTTTTCTTACATATAAAAAACAATTAATAATTATTAAAGAAAGGTAATATACTGTTAGACAAACCAACAACAAACAAACAAGAAAAAACTGACCTCTAACATCTTCTTCACTTTCTGTGAACTTCTTATTGACATGGAGGCAGCTATAACGGCATTAACTTGCTGTAATTACAAAAAACACAAATCTTTGTACAAAGAGTTTTAAAACAAACAGGAGAAAAGATTAATCTTCCATTCAATGTTTGAAAACAACCAGGAGAAAAGATATATCTTCCATTCAATGTTTGAAAACAAACAAGACCATGGATACAATGAAAAATGTCTTTCTACATATAAGATATATAAAACATCAGGACAGATTTAAAACACTTCATTATACCTTCCTTTCAACTTGGAAAAAAAGCTGTTTGAAAGCGACAGGAAATTAAATCACTTCTTTGTACATGCAGCAAGATCTTGAGTTTATATCAAGTTATTTTTGTAGCTTATATGATGATGATGATCTTATTCAAAACTTGATCAATTTTTACACATATGGCATGTTTAAATGGGTAACAAACATATTAAGAAGGTAAATAAATGTTCTTTATTTTTTGTTAGGGTTTGATCAAACAATTTTGTTGTTAAATTGTTGTCCTTTTGATATTGTCATTTGTGTTGTAAGTTTTCAAGTCTTGATGTAATAAATAAAACACACATATCAATAAAACTTACTGGTTGTAGATTATGTATGGTATCATAAAAGTTTCCAATAAAACTCATGATGTGTAATTTGGGCGACAATCTCTCCACTTTACAAAGCTGTAATATATAGTAAAACAAAATATTTCTTTAATACAATTAACTGTTATCAATGTACATAGAAGCTGGTTTACGATTCTGAAAACTAAACTAAAAGAAAATATTATCCTACTTACATAATAAAACAAGTATTTCCAAATTTTGTTAAAAACTTCTACAGGAAATCAATACCTTCATAAATTACCTTGATATTTACTTTTACCCTTCATTGTCGCTACACATGTCCATTGTATTTGTTTCTTTATTCATAAAGCATTCATTTTCTTTTCAGGAATAAACCTGGTCCGACATATATATTTATAACATAACATTTTTATAACATAATATTTGCACTGTCATTTTATTTTTGAAGGCCTTCTTTACATCAATTTTGAATTTCAATAAAAATCAGAAAGGAGTAAGTTCGGTAATGGCCATATTTGGCCCCAATTGATAAGTCCATAATTTGAAGATAAAAAATGTTTTAAGTTGATGAAAAGACATGTCAGAAAGTGAAATAGAATTCTTTTTGTGCAGCTTTTCTTATAAAGCCTTAACATTTACAACCGTAATAGGCCAAAAGTAGAGATTTTGATGAAAGTTGACAAAATCATCTGGATTCCTACCAAATTTAGGCCTAGAAAACATAGACCGCAGGCTTCGACAAACTAATTATTCAAATCAGATATGTAAAATGTTATAACAAACATTAAGTCCAAAGATCTTTCTTATCAATGCCAATGCATATGGTCAATGTTTCCGGTCCAAAAAATCAATGGAAATTTACCTGTTTTCTTGAACTTTTGCGGAATATCAAAATGTGTGCTATTTATGATGTCATGAAAAGAACTCTTATACGTAAATTTTCAACAAAAAATATCCTACCTAGTCATTGTTTAAGGATTTCGCTACTCTGTTTCAAAATAATAAGCTTTTTGAAAGACTGTTATAAATTGATAGTATATAAATGAAGGAACTAAAAAAGCAGAAAAAAAATGAAGGGTCCGTGTGCTTGTTTTCAAGATATAAGCCATTGAAAATTTGGCAGGAAATGATTCTCTCTAGATTTTTCATACATTTAGCATTGGAACCTTTTTCCTTTCAAAAACTATGAAAAAATAAGGATTTTATAAGATTTTCAAATATGGCTTTTTAAACTAAATGTAATAACAAGGATTTTATAAGATTTTCAAATATGGCTTTTTAAACTATATGTAATAAAATTATGAAAAGAAAAGTAGGGGTTAGCGGGAAAATTTTTAATGACATTACATGCATAAAACCAGAGGATTCCGAATATCTGACAAAAAATCAAAAATAAGAGGAGCAAACATCCTTAAACTATGATTCATTGTATAATTGGTCAGAAAATCTTATCTGAAAATTTAGCAAGAAATAGGGCCGGGGTCTTATCGAACCTACTCCTTTAAATTAGAAAATATCATACCTGAAAGAGGAATCTGTCTTCATCTGTTAACATGTCCAGTGGTTTACGATCTTTCTCATACATTTTGAATGCTTTCACCTAAGGATAGTCATTATATAAGTTTAATGTAAGTTTATATCAGGTTAGGAAATATAAAATTTCCTTAACATTAATTGCAGCATAATATAACTGTTTACACAAAAATTTCTCATATATGTAGCAATATTAAATTCAGTAACTCAATGAACTTCAATACTATTCAATGTATAAGTAGTGGAAGGACTTCATTTATACTTCTTGAAATCATCTGAGTAGATAATGATGATGTATGGCTGCTTAACGTCCAGCGGCAAATATCTGAGTAGAAAACTTCATACTGAACAATTACTTTACTTCAGTGAAACAGGACTAAAGAATTAGGCCTCACAATCTTCTTAATAAGATGTTAAAATGCAGAAACAAAAGCAATCCAAATAGCATGTCTAATCGTAAAAATTCAAAACTAAATTAACTGAACAACATTTCGTCATCTAAATAAAATATATGACATTGATGTTAATGTTTTTTTGCCAAATTAGATGGCTTTATAACTTACACCCTAGCCACCACATAGAGAAAGGATATTATGTATGTAAGTATTTTTAAAGAAGATATAATATATATTCAAAATAAACATACCTCTTGGTCATTTGGCAAAATTGTTAAAAGAATTTCAACCATATCTAATGACAGGGTTTTCAAATCAATACTGAAAAATAGAATTTACTGTCGGATTAAAACATTGCAGTATAATGCATTAAGTTAAAAATAATAATAGAATTGAAAGATATGGATAGGGAATAGATGCCACACTTTCTATTCCTATAAACTTTTCACTTAAATAAGCATTCATCATTAACTTGTGTATCTATCCAGTGATTGGTAGTGTCTTCTCCACAATAATATTAAAGTTTTCTTTTACATTTTCCCCAGTAATATTTGGTCTAATGAGATCCCACATACAAGTCAAATTAACAGTAATTCATAAAAGAAATGCAGTTATTTGTTTTAACATTAATCTAACTTACTAATTAATAGCTCTTGTTATTTCCTCGTTGGTTAATTCTATCTTCCTTCTTGTTATTGCTAAAAATAGATGTTTAAAAGTCTTTAAATCAGCATTTATAACATTTTAACAATGTACAGCTACCATCATCTAAGCTTAAAAATTAGGCATAGAACATTTCAATGAAGCTTCAAAGAATACATTTTTTTTTTTTTTAATACCTAGCTTTTTGAGGGACTGTCTAAAACAATTTAGAATGGTTTAAATATTTACCACAATTTCGTAATCTATTAGCATCTATCAGGCTTATGCTTTCTGGTTTTCTGGATTTTTTCAACATTTTAGGGGTACCATCATCCACCAAACCTGGACCTCCACCCAGGCGGAAAATTTCTTCAAATTCATTGAAGTTTATCACCTAAAAAATACAATCATTAAATAGATAATATACCTGTAAACAGCTTGAATGAGATTATAATTTAAATTTGGTATCAAAGAGATATTCATAGCCATATAATTTTATTGACTTAATAATTTTCATTGGACTTTTTTGGCACAAATTACAGTTTAAAGTTCAAAGGTGGACTTTTTTTACTTACAGTATAAAGATTTTCAATGTACATTTTTTGTATGACTTACAGTACAATATGTTTAAAGTGTTTTTTAGCATGACAAACAGTTCTTTAAGTTTTTCATTGCACATTTTCCCTCATAGTATAGTTTTTATTTTATGACTATAATAATTTTCAGTATTTTTTCTGCTAAATTTACTGTCTAAAGTTTTAAAAGATTTGAAGTGGTTATTTTTGTTTGTATGACTTACAAATTTTCATTGAACTTTTTTTAATATGACTTTTTCATCGCAAACATTTTGTGTATGACTTACGGTTTGAAGATTTTTATTGTACATTTTTGTATATGACTTGTACAGAAGTTTTTTATTGTTAATTTCTTCAGTATGACTTATTATAAAAGTTTTTCATTGTACATTTTTAGGGAGTATGACTTACAGTATAAAGTTTCTCATCATCCAGATCTGAAAAGATGGTTCCTTTGACTTGTTGTGGTTTTAATGGAGTCCAGTTCAGTACAGGTAACCTGAACTTGGTCTGTACTTTCTTTTTTATGGTCATTGCTGTAAATCAAAAATAATTCCATTCATCAAATATTTTCCAATATTTAATCATATAAATAAATTCTACTACCATTTTTTAACTTTATAGTTTTTTTAAGAGTCCTTTCTACTTTCAACAGCTTTTAAAGAGACAAAATATTTCTTAAATTTTATTCATTCAGAGCATCAGCATTATGAAATTTGTGTAGTTTTGATAGTAATAAAACTGAGAATGGAAATGGGGAATATGTCAAAGAAACAACAGCCGAATGCCACCAATGGGTCTTCAATGCAGCGAGAAAATCCCGCACCCTGAGGTGGTCCTCAGCTGGCCCCTAATAATCTCTTTATACAGCTAACCTTTATATACTATTTCTTATGAATGTTTTATTTAAATGAACTATGATCTTTGTACTAGATCATAGTTTTCTTACACTATCAATGACATTACTCTATGATATCCAATAGAAGTACAGTGACTGATCTAGTTGTGTTAGAAGGCATGTCACTTTGTTTTTCTAGGTTTTCTGTATTATTGATATTACTCAATCTCTTTCTAGTGTGATTTTTTTTCTTTACTGTATCAATTGTTCTTTCACTACTTGAAATAACAAAGAGGATGGTTAAGTAAAAACAACTCTAGGTTTACACTATTATATTAAAGTACATGTACCATGTAAAGAATCCTCTCTGTGGTTGTAACTGTCTATATACATATTTTATACATTAAAGAATCTGGTTTTGATTTTGGATTTATTATTGTCGCTTTAATAATAAACCTTTTACAGCTAGTACTGAAACTTTACTAGGTTAATAAATGTACAAAATGAATAATCCTTTACAAAAACATATATAAAGATATCTCAGGATACTTACCACCCATATTTGGAACAGCACCTCCTGGTGGTGGTGGAGGAGGAGGTATTGCACCAGGAGCAGGAGGTGGTGGTGGTGGAGGGGGTGGGGGAGCTACTACAGGTGGTGGCGGGGGGCGGTAAATCTGGTACAATTCCTGTTGTAATTCCTCCAGCACTTCCTCCTACAACAAATAATAATAATTCATGCAAATAATTAATCATCACAAAAAGTTAATTATTTTTTAAACTAGTAAGTCTCTTCCCCAGGACAAAAATTTAGTTATGAATCTTCTATGTTTCAAATCAAGTTAAACAGAGATTTTCCTTTTTTCAAACTTGACTTTGTAAACTCCATCTAAAAACAAAGGCATGCTGTCAAAAAAAAGTTAAATACCCAAAAACTGAAATAAATATTGAAAAAAATATAATGTTATAGATATAAGTGAAATTATTGTAGTTGCCATATATGATGACAAGAACTGTACCTGTAGTAGCACTTAATTTAAGCTGTTCCATTTCTTTAAGTTTCTGTTCAAGCATACTCTGTCGTTTCTTAGATTCCTCGTCTTTCTCATTTACAATCTGTCTCAATTCATTGACTTCAGATTCATGCCGTGCTAACAGATCCTAAAGGCAGTGAAAGCATTATGATGTTAACTCAGCTACACAACAAACATTTGGGGGAAATTGTGAATTGATCAAAATATTTCATTAGAAAATAAAAATCATTTCATCAAATTGTGATTTTACTTGCATATTCTTTGTGTACAAAGTTTGTTCAAACATGTATTTTCCCAAAATTGAAAGAAGAGAGAGAAAAAGATATTTTTGTTCTTTTATCCAATATTTATAAAAGATGAAAATTTATTTCTGCTGTAAAATGAAAATTGGTAATTTTGCAATTAAATGAATTATTTATGCCAACAATCTCTTACCTTTAATTCTTCTATTTCATTTGTAGCTTCAGATAACTGCTTTTCCAGTTCAACTGTAATAAAATAGGTATCAATGAAACATATAGCATAGAAATCATTATCTTAGGTAACAGTATTACATAAATGGGACAAAGCAACTGTCTAAAATAACTCTATTTTCTAAAATTAAAAAGTTAGACTAGCAGCAAAAGGTTGTCTGCCTTCTTACATATATATTTAAACAGTTGACCACAGATTTATTCCATTTGTCTCAAGTCAAAATCCTGTCCCTTGTTTTCCACGACTATGACATCACAGAATGTGACCTATTACAAAATTTTCTTTGTGATGAACAACATGATCCGTGCCACTGGAGCAGGATCTGCTTACCTTCAGGAACACCTGAGATCTTCCCCAGTTTTTAGTTTCTATTTAGTCTGTTTTGTAGATTGTTTTCCTGTTCATTATTTATCTTTTTGGCCATAGTGTTGTCTGTTTTTCCTTGACATAAGAATTTTTATATCTTGGTATTTTCTTACTCTTTTCATTCAACATTTAATAGTATAGACCAATTTTCAATCTATTCTTTAATACAGAGAGGAGAATAAGTTACCAAAGTTACAGGTGAAGGAATGCACAGACAAGGTAATTGCCATATCTGAATATAACCAATAAATGGATCTTACATGACAGATGATACTAGTGAAGCAGGAACTATTTACCCGAGACAGAGCAATTATGTTCACTCTAGTTTTTAGTAGGAGGATTTAGTATTGCTCAATCTTTAGTTCTCCAGGTGGTGCTTTGTTGACCATTTTTTTTTGTTGGATTTTTCCTTTCTGCCACTGTATCAAGGGTCTTAGTACCTTTGTTTGTTATTCATCTCAGTACCTTTGTTTGTTATTCATCTCAGTACCTTTGTTTGTTATTCATCTCAGTACCTTTGTTTGTTATTCATCTCAGTACCTTTGTTTATCATTCCTGTTAGTACTCATGGTACTGTCTTATTTTCTACAATACAAACCTGTTTTTGCCATTGCTTCATCTTCTAGTTCCAGAAATTTTTCTCTTTCCTGAAAATTAAATATGTATGTTACTGTTGAAATGGTAAAAAATAAATAAAAGCATACAACTGTTTACTGTTGATAAATATTGTTGAAACCTTTTAACACTCAGGTTATGTTTTTTCTTCAATGTAAATTCAGGGATGATTCCACTATATTGTTTAGGCCCTAAAATCAGCCTGCAGCCCCAAATTTTTTTTTTATAAACAACGATTCAATTATGTCAACATGTAGTAGACTATTCTAAAGCATCGTAATCAGATTGGTAAGATAAGGTAAGTAATTTGTTATTATGTCTTCATTATCAGAGTAGTCATCATGTGTTATTTTTTCTCTCAATATCTTTGGTCTCTTAAAAGCAGACCTCTCAGATACAATTGACGAAAATGCTATGGTAGTATTTGATCTTGTACAAGCAGATCGCCTAGCAAGCAAATAAAAAAGATGTTTTTACAGGAAAATAATGTTATTTCGTCTAAGATTTTATGTATAAAAAAATTCCCAATTGGGATGAAAATTCGAATTTGAAGTCAAGGAACCCATTTGAAAACACCTGGAATCATCCCTGGTAAATAACTTCAACAATTCTCTGTTTTATTTATGCATCCATTAACTGAATTGCCATTTGTGAAGGTCATTTCTTTTCAAACAGTATCATTTGAAATTTTAACTGCAAGAGATTGTGATAACTGTTATTATAAGGCTTTATCTGGTCAAGTAGGACAATGAATACAAACCCTTGATAATTCATCCTCTAAATCTTCTGCCCTTTCCAAAGCTTCTGTTTTCATTTCTGAATCTTCTAACAACTGGGCAACATCTATTGTGTTATCTACGTAGGCATGAACCTGAACTGAAAGTCGATCACTTTCAGTGTGCCGTAATTTCTGTAAATATAATTATCATTTTCATCAAGAAATACATGTTGCTGTAAAAGTGATGATTGTTATTATACTTGTAACTCTTATATAAACTTTATCAATCTGTTATATGTAAGAGAACTTATCAAGATTCCAGGATTTTTTTTACTAAAATTCCATATTCTGTCAAAAACATTTTGCGATTGCATTTTTTCAATGTGTAATTTTTCTCCAATTTGGTATAAATTGTAATATATATATCTTGGTTTGATACAATTATTTATATGAATATCAAGCCATCAAAAGTGTGTCTACATGCAATATATAGGTCAGTTTTACTCTATCTTGAGTAGATAGTTTTTTATGTTTTTCTTTGCTGTATACAATCATATAAATAAAAATCTCTTTTTATGTTTTTTTACCATTTTTCACAATACCCAAACATTTTCTCATTTTTCCACTTATGTTTCTAAGATTAAATTCAAAACAACACTTACTTAGAAATTGTCAGTTAAGCAATATACTATTTGCAAAAGATTTTTTACTGTAATCTTATTGAGGTGACTGGTGAAGTTAAACTGCATACATACCCCTAAGTAGTCATCCAGACCAATTGTGGTGAACTCGTACTGTAAATGGACCCTGAAATTCATATTTTCTACAGAATGTACAACTATATTCACAAACTGCATACAGGCAACCTAAAAAAGAAAAATGTTTAAATCAAAAAAATTATATTTATAGTTTTTTTCAACATCTAAATGAAGCTATGACAATTCTAAAACATTCTACATCCATTCTTGTGTAATTGTTGATATCATAGTATGACATAACGTTTTGAAATTCTTTTCTGTACTTTACATTGAATGAAATATTGTCTGTTGTAAATCTATCCTTAGTCATGGTTCAATTTGTGTATCGCCAAGGTATAATGAGTCTGTTTCAATGTGGATTGGGCATGTATTTTGTTCCACCCCTGTTGGCATTTTCAAGGTAAAATGATTGTTTCAATGAGGATTGGGCAGGTATTTTTGTTGCACCCTGTCGGTATCCCAAGGTATAATAATTCTGTTTCAATGTGAGCAAGTATTTTGTTACACACATCAGTATTTCACAGGTATAATTTTTCTGTTTTAATGTGGATTGAGAGTATGTTGTTTCAACTTAAGAGTATACGCAACGCATAATAATTGTTTCAATGTCAATTGGGCAGGTATTTTGTTACACCTGTGATTATTTCAAAGATATATTGGATGAGCTAGTATTTTCTTACACTCCTTCCATGTAGATTGGGTAGGTATTTTGTTACCACCCTGACAGTCAACAAATCAAATAATGTTCTATAAAATAGATTTTTGTTTTTTGACAAAATGTCAGCATGCTGCTTATTTTACGTTTGAATGGTTTTACACTAGTAATTTTTGGGGCCCTTTATAGCTTACTGTTCGGTGTGAGCCAAGGCTCCGTGTTGAAAACCGTACTGTGACCTATAATGGTTTACTTTTATAAATTTTGACTTGGATGGAGTGTTGTCTCATTGGCACTCATACCACATCTTCTTATATCTATTATCCGTTTTTCACAATACTTACAGAAACTAAAAGATGACTTATTAGTATAAGATACAACAGCAGATTACAACTGATTGTCATGCTCTGATAATTTGCAGCCAAGGACTTTGCATATTAATTGGCATGTTAATTGATAATCAATGAATGTTTTAAAAAACAAAACACTTGTATGGAAAATCAAATCATATTAGGTACACCAATTGTTTTGATCCATAAACATGATAAGGTGAACTTGTACTGCTGTAATATTTAAAAAGGAAAAAACAAATGATAACACTTTAACTTACCATAAAATCTATGTGGAATTCATCATAATTTTTGAAATAATCCATGAGGGTTTCAAAACGATGTGCTTCTCCACACACCTGAAAAACATAAAAAGGTATTTACACTGATTCTATTTTATCAGTCAGTTCATGCATAAACCTGAATTTAAAAAATCCAACACAAGACTAACCACAAAATGAAGACTTTCAACATCAATCTAAATTTTACAATCAAATGCATCTTCTTCAGCTCCTGAGCAAAAGATGGTTCTAAATATCTGCCTTTGAAACAAATTGTTTTTTTATTTTTGAATTGTATCAGTCATGTGACATTAATCCTAGAATTAAATACTTTAATTACTCCTTTCCAAAATGAATATTACAAACCATATTATATGAATTTGATAATAATGTGCAATAAATATTCTATTATAATTAATTCTTCTTATTTAACTGTCTTATAAAAACACATTTTATGATGATTGCTAAAGGTAAAAATGACGCAACTTCATTTATTATGAACAATTCATTCATTTCTAGGATTGCTTCTTTCAAAACTCGGTCTTAAATGCGACATAATTAAATATTCAGGTATTGAACAATAAGAAAACAATTGTCTTGTTGTTCTGTATCTCACAGATTTTATTTCAAGTAACCCAGTTATTTCATTACTAGACCTTGCAGTATAATACTGTAAATAATTGTTTAAACAACTACAATTTTCAGAACTTTCGAGCTTTGGGGCCGATCTAGGCAAGTGCTTAAAACAAATTGTGACTTACCTGTTTAAAGTTATCAAACGCTGAGAGTATTATCTCATGTCCTCCACTGACTAGACAAACTGCTGCTAATAATTCTAACACTAATGCTTTTGTTCTGAAAAAACCCATACAGAATTCTCATACAAATGTGGAACTACAAGAATCAATTCTAATATTAGAAATGACTTTTGACAGAGATAGAATTAGTTTTGAGTAAAACAATGCAATGCTTAAAACTAAGGGCTGTTATGACTTTTGACAGAGATAGAATTAGTATTGAGTAACAAATGTAATGGTTAAAACTAAGGGCTGTTATGACTTTTGACAGAGATTGAATTAGTATTGAAAATGATCCCTACCAAGGCTAATGAAATTGAGTGGAGTTTCGACCCCCTCATGATTGCTTTCACATTATTTTAGAGTATTCATGATTGATTTTCACATAATCATAGAGTATTCATGATTGTTTTCACATTATTATAGAGTATTCATGATTTTTATCACATTATAATAGAGTATTCATGATTGATTTCACATTATTTTAGAGTATTCGTGATTGTTTTCACATAATTATAGAGTATTCATGATTATTTCACATAATCTTAGAGTATTCATGAAAACAATTTTAGAGTATTCATGATTGTTTTCACATAATTATAGAGTATTCATGATTGTTTTCACATATTAATAGAGTATTCATGATTGTTTTCACATTATTATAGAATATTCATGATTGTTTTCACATTATTATAGAGTATTCATGATTGTTTTCACATTATTATATATTATAGAGTATTCATGATTGTTTTCACATTATTATAGAGTATTCATGATTGTTTTCACATTATTATATATTATAGAGTATTCATGATTGTTTTCACATTATTATAGAGTATTCATGATTGTTTTCACATTATTATATATTATAGAGTATTCATGATTGTTTTCACATTATTATAGAGTATTCATGATTGTTTTCACATTATTATATATTATAGAGTATTCATGATTGTTTTCACATTATTATATAATATAGAGTATTCATGATTGTTTTCACATTATTATAGAGTATTCATGATTGTTTTCACATTATTATAGAGTATTCATGATTGTTTTCACTACATTCTATGTAAATTTTGTTGTTTCCGGGGCATAATACTTACCGTAAACTTTTATGATTTAGACTGAGGGCTATACAGTTAATGGCATGTTTATGAGCTATGACAAGGTTGAAACCATACTGAAAAAGAAAGTCTGAACTATTACGAGAGACACAAATGTTCATTCCTTTTTTCAACTGTAAGCAAAAGTTTGGAAATGTGTATTTTGAAACTTGAAAGATTATAACCTTAACATGCTAAAACTTCAACTTCCTTAATGGGTTTTTGCCATTTAATATTCCTTAATGTCTGAATAAACCAAACTTGATTGTAAGTTGTTACTCCAGAGTCTTCTAACAAGATACAAAAACTTTGCAATTCGTTCTTTATTTTACTTGAAAACTCTAAAATTTGTTTTAATTGGATGGGTTTGAGTCATTTGAATAGTGCAATCATTACATCAAATGAGATTGAAGACAAATATTTGAAGCAATATTTTTCCTAATTTTTTTTTCTTTTTCTACTGATGTTGGTCTCTGTCACCTCAGTACTTAGGTAATTTGTACAAAAGTCTTCATGTTTTTATGAAAAGAGTTTTATTTTGTAACAACTAGAGTCTTTGCCTTTATTACTACACTAGTAGTCTTGATGATGGCAGTCTTGTGTTACTGTTGAACCTGACTAGGCCAACAAATTTTAATGTTTTTCATGCCAAAAAAAGAGGATTCTTTTTCTGAATTTGGGGAGGGCATGCACTGAGAGCACCCCACCCTTCCTGACTGGTGTTATTGTGGTACTAGTATTTACCTGATGGCTCATTATGGCACGTAAACACATGATACAAACATGAACATCATCTCTGGCCTCCCCACTGACAGCACCCCACCCTCCCTGACTGGTATTATTGTGGTACTAGTATTTACCTGATGGTTCATTATGGCACGTAAACACATGATACAAACATGAACATCATCTCTGGCCTCCCCAAAATTTAATTTGGAATTTTTTATACTTCGGGGGGAACCTATTGTATTTGATCGCTTAAGTCTTCGTGTTGGACTCCGAGACAATCCATCTAGACTAGCACTCTTCTCTTTGTTAAGTAATTGCTCCCTTCTGCAATGATAACACATTTAATGAATCACAAATTCATACATACATCTACAAAAGTAAATTGTAGCAATGTTTTAAAAATTTATTCAACAAAAAATTCCACAAAAAATATCAAAACTAGATGTATAACTAAAATTTGTCATACAAAAGTAACAAAGGAGATTTCATAGGTTTGCAAATAAGATAACTATCCATAAAGACCTAAGAACCAGTTAAGGAGAATGTTTACCTCATGACAACCTGTGTAAATGATAAATAGTCCACTAAAACATCTAGTCCATGGTTTTCTTCACTCAAAAACTCTCGTACCCATCTGTAAAACAAAAATATACTTTAGTCATTAGTCATAGTTTTTATCAGTAGAATGACAGAGTTCAGTTGATCATTGACATTGTAATAGATTTTATCAGTAGGATGACAGAGGTCAGCTGATAATTGACATTGTAATAGGTTTTATCAGTTGGATGACAAGAGGTCAGCTGATAAATAATTGACATTGTAATAGGTTTTATTAGTTGGATGACAGAGGTCAGCTGCTCATTAAAATTGTAATAGGATTTATCAGTAGGATGACAGAGGTCAGCTGATAATTAACATTGTAATAGGTTTTATAAGTTGGATGTCAAGAGGTCAGCTGATAATTGACATTGTAATAGGTTTAATTAGTTGGATGACAGAGGTCAGCTGATCATTAAAATTGTAATAGGATTTATCAGTAGGATGACAGAGGTCAGTTGATAATTGACATTGTAATAGGTTTTATCCGTTGGATGACAGAGGTCAGCTGATCATTAACATTGTAATAGGTTTTATAAGTTGGATGACAAGAGGTCAGCTGATAATTGACATTGTAATAGGATTTATCAGTAGGATGACAGAGGTCAGTTGATCATTGACATTGTAATAGATTTTATCCGTTGGATGACAGAGGTCAGCTGATCATTAACATTGTCACAGGTTTTATCAGTAGGATGACAGAGGTCAGCTGATCATTAAAATTGTAATAGGATTTATCAGTAGGATGACAGAGGTCAGCTGATAATTGACATTGTAATAGATTTTATCAGTAGGGTGAGAGGTCAGTTGATCATCAACATTGGAATAGATTTTATCAGTAGGATGACAGAGGTCAGTTAATCATTAACATTGTAATAGATTTTATCAGTAGGGTGACAGAGGTCAGCTGATAATTGACATTGTAATAGGTTTTATCAGTAGGACGACAGAGGTCAGTTGATCATTGACATTGTAATAGGATTTATCAGTTTGATGACAGAGGTCAGCTGATAATTGACATTGTTATAGGTTTTATCAGTTGGATGACAGAGGTCAGCTGATCATTAAAATTGTTATAGGATTTATCAGTAGGATGGCAGAAGTCAGGTCTGCTTTGAATTGGAATACCGGTAGGTTTTATCAGTAGGATGGCAGAGTTCAGCTGATCATTAACATTGTAATAGGTTTTGTCAATAGGATGACAGAGGTCAGCCGATCATTAACATTGTAATAGGTTTTATCAGTACTATTGCAGAAGTCAGCAATGTTTTGGCATTGTAATAGGTTGTCAAATTAAGTTGAGTTTTTTTAACATGAATGGATATTAGCAGCAAGTTAAGGAATACCACCTTAATTTGTGTATTCCTGATGGATACAGACTAGTTGGATTTGGCATTATAAGTTTAAGCAGTACCTTGTGGGAAGTCTGAACTTTCAAAAGCAAAGTATGAAAAGAAAACCTTTAGACTATGTTACTATAGATATTAGCAATTATAAATTCTCTACACTTTCTGTAAATATGATGGGTAACATTTTTTTTTGCTGTCTTTTTCTTTAATACTATTCAGCAGATATATATTCCCTGTCTGATCCATTAGTTCTGGCATGTTAACACTTACTCTATATGATTGGTACGAAGTGAAATTTCCAAGTCCCGTAGTACCTGTGTGGATGATGAATCTGCCAACATTTTCCTTTTCTGAAAATATTAAATAATAGAACATTTGGATGACATCAAAAACAATTCCTCTTAGTATCTCATGCTGACTGACATATGTCATATAGTTTCATAAGACATCATTGCTTCTCTACATTTACAAAGGTTAATGGCAGAATTTATTTCAATGTTCCATTTTCTACCTTTAAACTTGAAAAAGAAATCTTTTATTATACAAATAATTCAAATTATCATTATTGAATGTTGACAAGTAACACATCTATGTGTTGTGGGTCTCTGCTTAATTAAATTATGTTTATACACATACATAAACACTGCGAAATATATACATTATAGAAGTAAACATATGACATGTATTTCCATGAAAATAGAAAGTTCTGATTGCTCTACTACATCAAATATTTGTTGGTAGATAAATAGTTTATTCTGGCACTTGTAAACAAGGCATGTCAGGGCTTTAATCACATGATTCCCAAATGAGTACAACTACTGTGAAACCCAAACTCATTGCAAACCAGAAGATAAAACAAGGTGTGTCCCATTAAACATAGATATGCACTGATTATGATTTCAGAGGAAAATTTAACATTTAAAGTATGCAATTTACCTTCCAAAAATAACATTTGAAACTTTAAATGATGACCCTTGATTTATCAAATATAACATATTCAAGAAAAGCCAAGTTTATGATGTCAAGCACCTGTAATTTATACTGAAGTAGCTACATTTAATTCTTCCAAAAACAACATTTTTACATGCTCTTAATGATAAATCAACAAATCAATGTTATAATGGTAACAGGGTTAAACTTTATTGTCAGAGGGACAGACAAAGAGAGACCATAAACTCATGATGCTCCCTGCTACTGCATTTGGGGCATTTAAAACATTATAATATAGTTATTTAACCACAATAAATGAACATTGAAGAAGGCCAAATAAAATTATCAAACTTGTTTGTTGCAAAAATGAAAATTTATAAAGCGACAAAATTGATTCACACTTCACTACTGGAATAATTTTTTGTTTCTATTTTTGGATTAATAACAATTAAATTGAATTCCTTTAGAGGCAAGAAAAGGTATACCAGACTGCCTTGACATTAAATTATTTAAATAATACACCTAATTCAAAATGTTATAGAAGACAGAGCAGAGAATTTTTAAAAATGCCAGAAGACAGAACAGGGAACTGCCAGAATAAACTATTACCAGTACAAGTCTTTGCTGCACAATAAACACTGCTTCACATGAAGTAAATTAACTAAAGATATGTCATTAATTTAATAAAGCTAAGCAGATACACACACATATGTTCTTATATAATAGAACATCATATTCACAAACTTTTTTAGAAGGCAAAAAACATTGCCTTTATACATGCATTTTACTGTAATAGTTTAAATGCAATACAAATCTGTATCTTTTAGGTTAAGTTAAAAAAAAATATTTTAGGTCTATAGAGACTGAAGAGATCAAGATTTCAAAATTCTAATGCCTGTCTCATTATGTTTTAGATACAAAATTGTTAAAACTTTATAAATTGAATATGTTTCCCTCTTCAATTACCTAATATGTTGAAATGGAAGAGACTAATTTTTCCAATTCATTGTTTGATGAAAATCACTAAGTGCAATTGTAAATTAGATAATGTGTTTAACAGACAATAGTAGAATAAGTTGGTAGACAAATGAAAGTGTGTCATGCGAAATATTATATTTATCCTGCTTTTGACATAAATCTCACAATTTTATTGGATGAAAGCAACAACATATCAGCCATATTATGTTGCCTACAATATCTTTCTAAAGAAAAAATGCTACATTTTGTCAAAATTACACATTTGTTTCAAATGTATATAAAAATAAGATTTGGTATGATTGCCAACCAGACAATTATCCACCAGAGACCAAATGATGTAGAAGTTAACAACTATAGGTCGCTCTGCAGACTTCAACAATGAGCAATATCAATCACTTCAGGAAGAGTTTACATGTTATTAAAATGTTTTCAAAAATATAAAAATTTGTGAGCTAATTATTCCATTACAAGAAAAGAAACTGTCCAAATATCATATTTCATTCTCAATAGCATATTACATGTAACTCAAAATTTACTGAAAATAAACTTCATAATTAGGTAGATTATCAGTTTATCTATTTCACCGACACCATTAATTAAACATCATTACTAGAATGAACTCAAACAATAAAATTCTCCATACATAATATTTGTTTTTTTTTAACTTCACATTTAAGACCACCTCAATGAATTTCTTCTTCATTTATCAAGACCTCATGCCATTTAAACCAATATCATAAAAAACTTACATTGCAAACTCTGCATATTCACCTTTGACTAACTTGTGTTTCTAGGTTGCTGCCTCCTTGGTGTTTACCCAATGTTTGTTTTGATTCACATATATTATGGAGGTTATTAGCTTATCATTCATAAAGATGATTATCTCTGTATAACCTAGTCATTGTTGTTGACCATTGGTAATTGAGTGTTGATGAAGTCATTGCAAACAGTTCAGGTTATATTTCAGAGACTTTTTCTGTTCTTTTTAAAAAAAATGTTATCAACCATAAACAAAGTTCCCTTACTTCTCTAAAATAAAAGCTGAATTATAAGCTGTTAATATCAAAATTACTTAAATCAGCTAACTCCATAATTCTATTACTGTGGATTAATTTATTTTTGGGGGTACCAATTTTCGTGGTCTGATAAAAATTAGCATTTTCGTGGATATTTGATTTTGTGGTTTTGCAGAAGTTTGAATACAAGCCTATAGAAAATTATACTTCTTTGAAGATTTAAATTGGTGGTTTCCCTATAGCCAAGAAATCAAGGAAAATTGGTATCCCATGTATAATAACGAATGATCAATCTACAGTATTTTCCCTTCTATCATCATGAGCATCATAACATGTTTCAATATATGTATACCTGTATAAAACTCTTGATAACACATCCACTGCATACAATTTGTAGATTTCAATTAATTATCAGTGGGGGTCATGCCTAATTCTATGTCTAACAATAAGTATTATGTTAGGGAAATTATACAAACAAATTAATTTCAATAATACTGATTTATTCAGTGGTGTTTAATTACACCTTGTAGGAAATTAAATTTCAAGACTGAATCCAACTTGTGTTCTTGTCATTATCATAATATAAGTAACATATAATGAAGTTAATCATATGATACATCAATTCTGATATCAGCAGAATTCAACTTTTCCACAGAGCCTTTAATTTGGGAATTAAGATTCCTATATTTTAGAGACAATATGATGAAGTTTAGAAGTCAACTTGTTAAGATATCCATTGATTCCATTAATATTGTTTCCTGTAACTTGTTAATTCTATGCAATCCAGATGATTTTATCTGTGGAAGATGATGAACACTGATTTTAACAATGTTCCTTTGATTATTTCCTTGAGATTCTGATACTCATCTCCCTTACTTTGTTTTTAACTGACAATTTACAAGTTACTACAACATTCCATTCTTGGTTATAAAGACATTCTTTTCGTCTGTGAGACATTAATTACTATTTACACTGATCATGCCAAAATCAGAAATAAAAATATCTGATACTGCAACTGAAGACACATAAAAGCTAAAAAATGAACGTACAATATCAATACCACACTGAAGGGGGAAGGCAACCATTCCCACGCAGGCTCCCTGTAACAAAACATATCATGATATTACTGTGACAGGGTTAGCTTAATCAAATCTTATTGGTTAATAAATATTCTAGGCTCTGTCTATAGAAGGATATTTTTTTCAGTGATTTAGGATTTGATATGAAATCTTTCTTCCTGGGAAAGAATTAAACTGCAAAGTACAACATGCACAATGCTGATTGTTTCTGTTAGCTCATTTACAGTCAAATAATCAACTCTTGACTTTTAAATCAACAAAAACACACAATATGAATCACTGAAAAATTACAGGAAGAGATCTGCTCTAAATATTTTTTGCAATTAATGATAAAATGTATGGTAATAGCAGTAATGGATAGCATACATTGAGGAAATGTAGATTTTATTACATAACAAATTAATATTGCATGAAATTCACGTTTCCATATTCTATTTTCATTATATTCATGCTACTGCATTCAAGACAAGTGCAATTCAATGTCTTGTATCAACATCCATCAAAGATAATAAAATGTAACGTAATTAACAACAGAAAATCTACCATCATAAAATTTTGGGATTACATTGAAACTGAATAGAAAAATATCAACCATTTCTCTTATCAATAAATCAATTTATTAACATATTTTTTGTCCATCTGTAAATTTTACTAAGTATTAGATACACCTTGACGGTGTTAGCCCAAATGGGTGTATCTAATTTACACCAAGATATTATTGTCAATGCAGAATGATAGTTTTCAATAATTTAGGAGGGGGGTCTTTCAGCTATTTGATCATATGTTATTGAAAAGCACGATAAATGCAGGGTATCCAATTTCATTTAAGGACATCTTGGTGGAAATATAAAAATAAGGAGATGTAGTATGAGCGCAAAAGAAACAACTATCCAACCTAGGATGACAGCAACTTCACGTCACCTTCAACAATGCACACAGCCCATACAATACAATGTACCCAAGACAAAATGTGAAACAATTGAAAATAGATAACCCAATGAAAACATTTAATCATTTTAGCCTGTCTTTTAGGTTGGGATTATAATAAATTACATTTTTCACTTTCAATGACATTCCCCAAAATCCTGTGTATCAATGACATTCCCTAAAATCCTGTGTATCAATGACATTCCCTAAAATCCTATGTATCAATGACATTCTCCAAAATCCTGTGTATCAATGACATTCCCCAAAATCCTGTGTATCAATGACATTCTCCAAAATCCTGTGTATCAATGACATTCCCTAAAATCCTGTGTATCAATGACATTCCCTAAAATCCTGTGTATCAATGACATTCTCCAAAATCCTGTGTATCAATGACATTCCCCAAAATCCTGTGTATCAATGACATTCCCCAAAATCCTGTGTATCAATGACATTCCCTAAAATCCTGTGTATCAATGACATTCCCTAAAATCCTATGTATCAATGACATTCCCCAAAATCCTATGTATCAATGACATTCTCCAAAATCCTGTGTATCAATGAAATTCCCAAAAATCCTGTGTATCAATGACATTCTCCAAAATCCTATGTATCAATGACATTCCCCAAAATCCTGTGTATCAATGACATTCCCAAAAATCCTGTGTATCAATGACATTCCCCAAAATCCTATGTATCAATGACATTCTCCAAAATCCTGTGTATCAATGACATTCTCAAAAATCCTATGTATCAATGACATTCCCCTAAATCCTGTGTATCAATGACATTCTCCAAAATCCTGTATATCAATGACATTCTCCAAAATCCTATGTATCAATGACATTCCCCAAAATCCTATGTATCAATGACATTTTCCAAAATCCTATGTATCAATGACATTCCCTAAAATCCTATGTATCAATGACATTTTCCAAAATCCTATGTATCAATGACATTCCCTAAAATCCTATGTATCAATGACATTCCCTAAAATCCTGTGTATCAATGACATTCCCAAAAATCCTGTGTATCAATGACATTCCCTAAAATCCTATGTATCAATGACATTCCCAAAAATCCTATGTATCAATGACATTCCCTAAAATCCTATGTATCAATGACATTCTCCAAAATCCTGTGTATCAATGACATTCTCCAAAATCAATGACATTCCCTAAAATCCTATGTATCAATGACATTCCCTAAAATCCTATGTATCAATGACATTCCCCAAAATCCTATGTATCAATGACATTCTCCAAAATCCTATGTATCAATGACATTCCCTAAAATCCTATGTATCAATGACATTTTCCAAAATCCTATGTATCAATGACATTCCCTAAAATCCTATGTATCAATGACATTCCCTAAAATCCTGTGTATCAATGACATTCCCTAAAATCCTATGTATCATAACATTCCCTAAAATCCTATGTATCAATGACATTCCCTAAAATCCTGTGTATCAATGACATTCCCAAAAATCCTGTGTATCAATGACATTCCCTAAAATCCTATGTATCAATGACATTCCCTAAAATCCTGTGTATCAATGACATTCCCCAAAATCATGTGTATCAATGACATTCCCCAAAATCCTGTGTATCAATGACATTCCCTAAAATCCTATGTATCAATGACATTCCCTAAAATCCTGTGTATATCTACTGTTGTATATCTACTGTTTTCAGACAATATGAAATCATACTGTTACAATTTAACAGGTCCACAGAGTAATCACAGAACAAGATTATTGTATTGATTATACACAAATTCTATATATTTTCTATTGTCCAAATACTATTAATGTGATCATTTTCAGGAAAAAGAATTGTCTATTTTCCCTGGTTGTTAAAATTCTGGTAATTCTGTCAGAATAAGGAATTGATACTATCATAAATATTCTTCATCTTTAATTCTTGTCAGTTCAATGAAACAAAAGCTACAAAGTTATCATTTTATTTTGAATTTATTTTCTAGAAAACAATCTAATTATATTTGTCTGTTTCATTGTATAGATCTTCCATTCTATTCAGAGGCCAAGACTTAAGTTTTTATCAAAATATTCTTTCCATGGAGTAAGCTTTGATATTTTTCCATTTTCTCACAGTTAAACAAATTTACTAATAATTACTAGTGTTCAATAAAAATTCATATACCAACAGGAACAAATTTTATTTCCTTCTTAGAAATTGGCTGACTCAATTTACAAGGAAAGTAAAATAAGAAAAAGTCCCTAAGAGACTGGACAATGATTTTTTTATTATTAAATGGGGCATTTATTTATCATATAAATTCATAAATCACCAACAAAAATTACCCAAACTAAAGATTCAAAATTTCTAAACATTATACCATTTACTGCAGAAATAGGAAGAAACAAAGGTGATTTGTAGATCTATTAACAATGTTAAAGGATGAGGTACTACAGACATACGTTATAGACAGGGAAAAGTCATGATGTAAAAACCAAATGTTTCCTATCTAAATCATGTACATGTCATTCTACCTAAATATACACTATAGAGAAGAAAACATTTTTATGTAGCATTTCTAACAGTTTGGCATTTTTATATCAAAACATTAAACTTGGAAAACTGCTATTTTTTTTTAAACTCATACATTGTATTTATAAAAATTGATCCAAATCTAAAATAATCTACTATTCTTTGTTTTCCATTGTACTTGTGTTGAAAAAAGATTCAGAAAAAAGATTTCTTATAAACAATATTTATTTGATCTATTTTTACAGTGAAAACTGATCTCATGTTAAAATAAACAAGCATTCTGTGAGTATTGCCTGGCAATACATAGTCCCCTACCGGTTAAAAATTCATTGTACTGGAACAAAATGCTAACTTGATCTATAACTTGTCATGGTGTAAACTATATAACAAATATCAAGTCAATATCTTCAAGCATGACGAAAAAAAAAATGTGGAAAATTGATTATTTCAGTGAATTTTCTAAGTCCAAGGACCATAACTCTGCACAAAATCATCAGACCAGAACAAAATTCGAACTTGATCTGTAACTTGTCATGATAAAACTGTATACCAATCATCAAATCAAAATCTTCCAACATGACAAAAATAAAATGCTCCGCTGGGGCGCAGCTTGATACGACCGCAGAGGTCGAACCCTGAACAGTTGGGGCAAGTATGGACACAACATTCAAGCTTGATACAGCACTGAATTTGGATTGTAATTAAATATTTGACACAGCATAGGGTTCTGACACAGAATGAAAGTGGTCTAAGAACTTAAAAATTTTTAATCTACCTATTCAAACCATATCATTATTATTTGCTTTTATATATAAATCAGAAATAACCAATTTAAAATGGAAAATTTTAAAGGAAAAAAAGGGGAAAAAAATCCCCCCCCAAATTTTTTGAACCCCCTTATGATTCATCACCCCCAAACTCAATCCCAGCCTTCCCTTTGTGGTATGGTACCTTGCAGTACAATTTCAGAGAGATCCATACACTTGAACACAAGTTATTGTCTGGAAACTAGAAAAATGCTTGTTTTTTGGCCCCTTTTTGGCCCCAAATTCCTAAACGTTTAGGGCAATTACCCCCAAACTCAAACCCAGCTTTCCCTTTGTGATATGGAACCTTGCAGTACAATTTCATAAAGATCCATAGACTTACACACAAGTTATTGTCCTGAAACTAGAAAAATGCTTGTTTTTTGCCCTTTTATGGCCCCTAATTACTAAAATTTTGAGGCAATTACCCCCAAAATCAACCCCAGCCTTCCCTTTGTGGTATGGTACCTTGCAGTACAATTTCAGAGAGATCCATACACCTGAACACAAGTTATTGTCTGGAAACTAGAAAAATAGATATTTTTGGCCCCTTTTTGGCCCCTTATTCCTAAAATTTTTTGGCAATTACCCCCCAACACAATTCCAGCTCCCTTTGTGATATGGAACCTTGTAGTACAATTTCATAAAGATCCATACACTTACACACAAGTTATTGTTATAAAACTAGAAAAATGCTTGTTTTTTGCCCCTTTTTGGCCCCTTATTCCTAAAATTTTTGGGCAATTACCCCCCAACTCAATTCCAGCTTTCCCTTTGTGATATGGAACCTTGTAGTACAATTTCATAAAGATCCATACACTTACACACAAGTTATTGTCATGAAACTAGAACAATGCTTGTTTTTTGCCCCTTTTTGGCCCCTTATTCCTAAAATTTGGAGGCACTTACCCCAAAAATCAATCCCAGCATTCCCTTTGTGATATGGAACCTTGTGATACAATGTCAGAGAGATCCATAGACTTACACACAAGTTACTGTCATAAAACTAGAAAAATGCTTGTTTTTGGCCCCCAATTCCTAAAATTTGGAGGCAATTACCCCCAAAATCAATCCCAGCATTCCCTTTGTGATATGGAACCTTATGGTACAATGTCAGAGAGATCCATATACTTACACACAAGTTATGTCTGGAAGTTACAAAAATGCTTATTTTTGGCCCCTAATTCCTTAACTGTTGGTACCATAACCCCCAAAATCAATCCCCACCTTCCTTTTGTGGTATTGAACCTTATGGTAAAATTTCATTGAGATCCATTAACTTAAACTAAAATTAGAGTGCGAAAACTAATGTGTCTTCGGACAACGACGACGACAACGACGTCATACCAATATACGACCACAAAATTTTTTTTGCGGTCGTATAAAAAGTGAGGAAAACTGATTATTTGAGTGATTTTTCTAAGTCCAAGGACCATAACTTTGCACAAAATTGTTAGACCGCACCAAAATTCGAACTTGATCTGTAACTTTTCATGATAAAACTGTATACCAATCATCAAATCAAAATCTTCCAACATGACAAAAAAAAGTGTGGAAAACTGATTACTTGAGTGAATTTTCTAAGTTCAAGGACCATAACTCTGCACAAAATTGTCAGACCGGAATAAAATTTGAACTTGATTTGTAACTTGTCATGATAAAACTGTATACCAATCATCAAATCAATATCTTCAAGCATGACAAAAAAAAAGGGGCGGAAAACTGATTTTTTTAGTGAATTTTCTAAGTTCAAGGACCATAACTCTGCACAAACGTTTCAGATCTGAACAAAATTTTAACTTGATCTGTAACTTGTCATGATAAAACAATAAACCAAATATCAAATCAATATCTTCAAGCGTGAGGAAAAAAAGTGTGGAAAACTGATTTGCCGGACTGACGGATGGATGGAGCGAAACCTAAAGTCCCCTTCGACTTTGTTGGTAGGGGACTAATAAAACAGAAGCTATGATTTCTTAACAGTAAGTTTATCTAAATGTCTTATATTATAAAGATATTGAAAGCATGAGCACAATTTGCATATATATATATATACATGTATATAGACTTGAAGGGGATGAAAAAAAGGTTACTTTTCACAATTAGAAAAAGACATTTGTGTATAGAAAAGTTAAATACTATATAGGATATGTCATAGGTACATTTTTAGGATACTTTCTTTTCCTTAAATCCATATCAGACAATCTAAATCATATTTGTGATAGACTCATTAAATAGAGTAAAAATTATGTAATTGAAAAAAGACTCATTATAGAGTAAAAATTATGTAATTGAAAAACAGACTCATTATACAGAGTAAAAATTATGTAATTGAAAAAAATCTTGATAAATTTAGAAATATGATGTGTAAAAACCTGTTGATGTTGCACTCTAGACAAATATCTGTACATGCAACTTCTATTATCTTAGTTCCCAAGAGAAATAAAAACATGTATGGCCTATCAATAATACTTTTCTTTGATATAAAATTCATTATGGCTGTGTGAGATAACACCTTCTATTTCATAGTTTGTTCAAGTTAAAAAGTGAGGAAACATAGTGATACCATAACGTCCTGAAGGAAGTGAGTAGTAAAGACATGCACTTTATTTCAGTATGTAGAATTGTACCTTGATGGACTGTGATTGCTGAAATATTCACAAAATCTTTATAAATTGTTAGATTGACAAAAAATTGTATACTGACCACATATCTATTTCATCAAGTGACAGGGAAAAAATCCTTTTTTAAAACTATATCCCAACATCCCTGATATCTTCATGAAGAAAAGGTAATACTTACATAACCAATTGTAAAACTGTTTTGTCACTCGTAGAGATTTTTGAAAACCCAAATTTTAAATAACATATTCAAACTTATTGAGAAGTTATAAATGCATAGATAGAGACTGCTACAGAAGGTTAAATCTGATCTGATACTGGACGTGCATTGGTGGAGACAGTGACTGTGGTTTGATAAAGAAAGGATGGGACCTTAACTCTTTCTCAAGTGTGTTTCCACTGAAGATTGCCCAAGAATCTTAATATTTTAGAGATTTCAGGGCTTGCTTGAGTCAAAACTTTCTACATTTTTGACCTTTGAGAAGTTGTCAGCGTGTACCTTTGTACAGTAAAATAGTAGTCCTCAGAGAGTGCCTCAAGGTGAGTGGCCAAAGTATTTTGATATTTAAGAAATTTTTACTATGTTCCTCTATGCAAAACAGCATTTTTTTAGAGGTGTTCTTTTAATCGGAGACAGAAAAATAAAATCTTCTAGAAGTTACAGGAGAATTTCTCTTGATGGCTTCAATTAGTTTGTATGTTTTGAGGGTGTGCCTCGGTGGAGAAGGCTATGTGGTAATGAGGATAAGGTGTTAGTTAAGCTAATCTATGATTGTTGTGTGAGTACTGACATGCTCTTGTCAACAACATAGTCTTACCCTGGTACTTCTGCTAGCCTTAGGATCCAAATATGTTTTGAGATGGTCCAGGTAAACATTGGGAGGGTCCTTTGCATGAACTCTTTCCTGAAAAAAACAAAAAGATGTACTTGATTTTAACATTTCACTAATAAATTATATATTATTGTTAAAACAAAAAACAAATAATACAAAATAAATGTAAAATAAGGTTTTACTGTACCAAGCGATGACCAATAACGGGAAAGAATTAGTCAAACAATGAAAACCACAAAGACATGAAAGTGTCCACAAAATGATCAATTAATAATTAGGGTGTATTATAAACAATACAATAACATATGTACTTGTATAATGTCAATAAGATGAGAGAGTCACTGGCCTATTGAAAACCAATATGAGCAAGCCTAAAAAGTTGAGAAAACTTGTAGATTATATAGTTTGTTTATGTAAATGTTATATCTCATTGTGTAGTTGGGTTGTTATATCATTAATTATCTTCGACATGTCTTTTTACATACAAGTGCAACCCAAAGATCCATACTTCAGACATAGATATCTTACTTAATATTAATTCAGTTTACACCATAATACTATAAAACAGAGGTCAATGTTATTCTATTACAACAAATTTAACATAAATTTTATGAAAATCGTTTATTTCTGTAAACTATTTACATTTCATTACTTTGATCAATTACTAGCTTAGGTTTAAAATAGCTTATTATTTTCAAGTAAGAAATGAAGTTGTTTATTAAGTTTATTTGTTCTCTCTTTACTCTGACAGAGGAAACATGATGGTGGAGTTGGTGGACATATATGAGACAAATTCTAATGAAATACCAGGAAATAATCAGTAAGGCTTTTATTGCTGATGCTCATCTGGACTGTTGTTAGAAGGTCTCCAAGGATGAATTAAATAGTTCCTCAAGGTCAAGGCTATTTTAAAATCATGAAGTAAATATCATATTTTACTGATGAGGTAACTGATAGGATGTTCATTCATAACAAGCCACAGATTTTATTGAAGGAATATTAAAATCACTTCAATATTAAATATTATGGTGAGCTTTGTTGCAATACTAAAAAGATTTCACAGGAACAGCATTCCATATTGTCATGAGGTCTGAATCATTGCATAAAGTGTGTAAAATGGTTATTTTTAAAAGTACATGAAAAGGGTAATAGGAATTACTACAAATATTTGACAGTACTTGTTAATTGAGTGGACAGTACATGTCCTTAACTGTACCCAGGTTTGATTGTGCCAAAAGTGACATTAAAAAATCCATCAATCTTTAACTGTAAAATGTCTTAATTTCAGAATTGTTGTCATTTGATGGTCTTAGCAATACATACTTTAAAGAACTTCCTCCATGTTGGATTACAGTTTTAGTATACACAGTGTTGGAGTACACAGTTTTGGTACACACAGTGTTGGATTAAACAGTTTGGTACACAGTGTTGGAGTACACAGTTTTGGTACACAGTGTTGGAGTACACAGTTTTGGTACACAGTGTTGGAGTACACAGTTTTGGTACACAGTGTTGGAGTACACAGTTTTGGTACACACAGTTTTGGATTACACAGTTTTGGTACACACAGTGTTGGAGTACACAGTTTTGGTATACACAGTGTTGGATTAAACAGTTTTGGTATACACAGTGTTGGAGTACACAGTTTGGTATACACAGTGTTGGAGTACACATTTTTGGTACACACAGTGTTGGAGTACACAGTTTTGGTACACACAGTGTTGCAGTACACAGTTTTGGTACACACAGTGTTTGATTAAACAGTTTTGGTATACACAGTGTTGGAGTACACAGTTTTGGTATACACAGTGTTGGATTAAACAGTTTTGGTATACACAGTGTTGGAGTACACAGTTTGGTATACACAGTGTTGGAGTACACATTTTTGGTACACACAGTGTTGGAGTACACAGTTTTGGTATACACAGTGTTGGAGTACACAGTTTTGGTACACACAGTGTTGGAGTACACAGTTTTGGTACATGCAGTGTTGGAGTACACAGTTTTGGTACACACACACAGTGTTGGAGTACACAGTTTTGGTATACACAGTGTTGGATTAAACAGTTTTGGTATACACAGTGTTGGAGTACACAGTTTTGGTATACACAGTGTTGGAGTACACAGTTTGGTATACACAGTGTTGGAGTACACATTTTTGGTACACACAGTGTTGGAGTACACAGTTTTGGTACACACAGTGTTGCAGTACACAGTTTTGGTACACACAGTGTTTGATTAAACAGTTTTGGTATACACAGTGTTGGAGTACACAGTTTTGGTATACACAGTGTTGGAGTACACAGTTTTGGTACACACAGTGTTGGAGTACACAGTTTTGGTACATGCAGTGTTGGAGTACACAGTTTTGGTACACACACACAGTGTTGGAGTACACAGTTTTGCATCCTTTCAATGTCATAATAAATATGCATTTATTGCAGAGAAATGATTAACTGTTATCTAAAAGACAAGCTGAGTGACAACTGCTTACACTAAGTTCACCTTAGATTACTGGTTCAATGCTACTGCCAAAATTTCACAGCCTTGAGAACAATTCTTATCACTTATAACAATTTAATGATGTTGAACAATGAACTTGTGTAATATTTTGATGTTAAGAAAACTTTATATCACTGTTCTAGCAGTACTTTATTGCTCTTTCTGACATTCAGTTTACAAAATGTTGGAAAGTTTCCTTGCTTCTCATGTAAACTACACCTTATTTCTAGTGCATAAGAACTATCAAATAACAAATCATATAGTTATATGTTGTATTCTGAGATTAAAGATCTATTGATCTTTCTTTTAAATAACATCATTAAAGTATCACATATTACATGTAAATGTCACAGTAACCTATTTTCACACAGTGGTATTTTAATGTGAAGTTAGTCAAAAATGTCAGAAAAGGCAAAAGCATTGTTAGTGTAAAATGTAGGTCATGGTCACTTTAAGGCAATAATAATTAAGGTCTTTCCCCTTATCATGCTTATTGTTTTTATAATATTTAGTTAAATAGTTTTTTCTTGGTTAGAATAATCATAATTTTGAAATTGTTTGAAACAACACTAGAAGTTACATGTGTTTTTTTCTGCATATAATGTACAAATCTACTCTAGGTACTGCAAACATTTTATGTATTTTAATCAATGTTTATTATGCAGTTGTTTGCAAACTAGTCTGAATTTCAGCCACCAATATTAGAGTGTGGAAACAAAACTTTAAATCATCAGGTTAAGTATATTCTACTGAATAAGTTTGGTGTTCATGGCAAATCTTTTGATCTGAGCTTTTGATAGACTGTTCATTTTTTTCACAATCATTGATGACTGGTTGCAATTTACAGCCAAATTTTATTATAGCCACTTGTCCATTGTTGAAGACTGTATGTTGACCTCCAGATATCTTCTGGTTTCATGTGTTCTTGGATTGCTGACAGAAACACCATGTCTCCTTTGACTCATAGTCAACCTTTATTTTGATATAATCCATTGCTTAGATTCAATAATACAAATCCCTACAGAACAATAAATCTTCCAACAGGTCCTTGTAAATGTTCACCATTTTCTCATGCTTTGTATTAATTCATTTTTGTTTTTTTATGTCCTAATTTCAGTATTTGGCCGTGTTTTCTGGTCAATTTTCAGAAATTACATCTGAACTTTATACTGTATATTTTCCATGCTTAACTGATCAGGGCAAATATGAAAATCAAAGAAATAGGCTGATAAATTTCAACTCTGAAGATTTAACTAAGAGAAAATTACATGTCTTTTATCAGAATCTCTTTCTATTTAGTGAGCATTGCAAAAAAGAAAATTGACATCATTCATTACCTTCCTCAGACAAATGCAATCTCATAAATAATGAAACCTCCTTCATCAGACTAATTCAATTACATCTATTTTTATTCAAATCATGTAAAAACATAAACTGCTGGTCATGATGAATTTCAAGGCATTATAATAAAAGTACAGATATTATCCAGTACTATTTTTATCTTTGGGTCATGGTCTACTAAATGTAGAATGCATAAATAAATATTTATCAATTTCTCAAATATCAATAAGCATATCTTCACATTTATTAAAGCATATCTTCAGAAAAAAAATTAACCTTCTACTTCAAGCATTTATTTTGATATATCAGTTTTTTCCTACACAGATATTTCTTTGTGTCTTACAAGTATTTTTAGCATTGCACATCTGAGGCTCTAGATGTTGAGCAACAGACTCAGAATCTCTTGACTACCATTACTAGTATTGGTGGATTGACGAAAGCATGTTTTGTATTGGATCAAAAGAAAATTGTAGATTGTGGAGCACTTAATTTGTGGTTCTTTGACAAATGCTTGATATATCCATGAAAATTAGAACCTGTTAAAATTTATAAAATAGATAGTATAAAGATGCTTTTAATAGTTTTGGAAACCATTGACATTTTTTTCATTGGTACAAAAACACCACATTTTTATAAATTTCTGTTATTCTTAGCCAATTCATACTTTCCCTGACTGGTGGATTATTTTAATATTATGGACATGTGGTTTGTTTGTTCTCAGGTCTTCATTGGTCAAATTATTTTTGCTTTCCTCTAAATCTGCTATTGTGACAACACAAACTAGAGGCTCTAAAGAGCCTGTGTTGCTCACCTGCATCTTCAACAATGGCTACTTTTTAAGTAAAAAAATCATCATTTAAGGGGAATAACTCTAATAAGAATTAACTGACATTTTCAGTCATGTTCAAATATTTGTAGATCTTATCCTGCTGATAATTTATTCTTTTTAATTTTTCTATTGATCTATAATAGTTTTCAAGATAATAGGCAAAAAATGATAAAAAATGTTAAAAATTATCATTATAGAGCAATAACTCGAATAATAAGTCGACTGAAGATTTCGGCCATTATGGCTTATTTGTAGATCTTGTCTTGCTGATCATTTATGCTATTAAAAGTTTCTATCCATCGATTACAGTTTTCAAGATAATAGGCAATGCAATAATGTGAAAAATAGTCATTTACGACGAGGTTTTTTCTAACAATCTTGACTACCCATGAGGGTCTTG